GAGAAAAATGAATGAAAACCAAAAGAAAGGGAACCCAAAAAATAACAAAGAAAAAAGTGTCTATTACTTTGTCTTCAATCCATAAGTCCTCAAAAATTCTTTATATTTCTCTCTCTCCTCCAAACGGTCAGCACACGGTTCTGATGCCGGTATCAAACGCCCTCCAGGAGCAGCCCAGCCGAGCGAGGAAGACAGGAAAAAGGACACAAGAGAGAAAGCAGATCTAAGTGTAGTCACGAAAGTCCTTTATTCCAAATATAAATGATTACACTTACGAAATGGTTTGAGTAAAAATCGCATGTGGGTGTAAACGGTGCCCAGCCTTTGAAGGTTTATCCGGTATGTCAGGAAGGAAGCAGCGGGTCCCCTTGACACGTTTCGTCAGTCTTTGACTTTTTCAAATGGGTATTGCTTCCCATCTGACACCGGAACTTATATCATCTACTCAATTGGGATTTAATTCAATCCATCAATTAACTTAATTCAATTGAATTAAGTTAATTGATGGATTTAATTAAGTTAATTCGTTTTTTCGTTTTGGGGCGATGATAAATGGTTTTATGTGAGCTATTTTTTGTATAGCTGTGTAATTATAATCAACCAATCGAATGATGAGATCAAACTTTGGAATCAGAATGTATATGTAATCCCTACAGATGTGGGATTGAGCGTTTAATCACAGAATACTGTTTTATTATCACATTTTTATCAACGAAATATTGAACAGAACAAAGACACAGTTTACTAATTATAATAATTTATTTATTTATTATACATATTTTACACTAATTTATGAATCTTTATTCACTCATTTATTCATTTATCCATCAATTTTTTATTTTTATTTTTCACTTGAATATAAATAGCAAGATGACACAGTAAGAACATTGCTCACTACCAAGCGCAACATAATTGCTCACATTGATCACGGTTATACACATTGTTGCAGCTGGTGTTTTCACATAGTTTTTCCAGCGCAACTAAATTGGTCAAAATATGCTAGACTTGTATGTCTACATAGGTTTCCAGGAGTCCTGGCTTTGTCAGGCTTTGCCTCATTGTTGCAGCCAATCTTAAGCAGGCCTGATACCTACTCTATAAAATAGATGTGTAAACACAGAATCTACGAACAATAGTTTGGCATCTTTGTTATGACTTCAGCATTGTGAAAGAACTATGGTATGATGGTCTCTGCCCCAGAGTCTGTGAGATATCAGAATCCGGTGGATGAGCCAGCCATCAGTTCATGTCTTAAAATCAGTTTTCTTTGGAATTGGCCTATAACGTCTCGGCATTCCTGGGTTTTTTTTTCCTCTTGATATTGATGCATCTCCTTGTGCTGACCTACTATACTTCTGTGCAGATTCATCGCTATTTCTAATTAATTATCACCATTCAAACTAAAACATACCATGTTATCTAATGTTCGTTAGTTATAGTTGTGGCGTACGCCCGGCCCAGACCCGCTCTACGTCAATCCCACCAATGACCATACACAAGTCTGAACCCAGCGTGAGAGTCACAAGGACGTGGCGATACCACTCTCAGCCTAACCCTGCGCAGAGATTTCCCAGCTCGCAGGACACAATCTCAGGCCAGCAGACAGAGCGATCGTCACCAGGGTTGGGTAACTCCGCAGTTAACCCTTTACCCACAAACGTTCACTGCCACCATGTATTTTATTGTAACAGAAACACAGACCGTGCCCAGCAAATGCTGCAACAATTTAAAACACTTAAGCAATGCCTGTGATACCGCTGTCCTCTCAGGCAGGAATATGACAGGATTCACTATACAGTAGCGCTCTTCACAGAGGCAAGGATACTTTAAGTTCGTATTTAGAGCGTAGAGATAAGCCTAGCGATTTTTAAGATCGTCCTTTTATAAAAGAAATGGTGCAGAAAATATACAGAAAAAGATTTAATAAAAAGAGACAAAATATATATACAACAGCAAAAAAAAGGGAATAAAAGGAGAATACTTAACAGTCCTGGAATTGTGAGTTCTGACAGAGATCAGAGTTCAATAAGCAAGGTGGAAGTCTGCAGGGCTCTTCTTCAAGCAGTCTTCCAGCAGATAATGTCCAAAGATTAAAGGGAACTCTTCTGCGATGTTAAGTCTTCTAGTTCCTCGATCATGTTTTAAAAACCGAGAGCCAAATCTCGCCAACACAGAATATTTTATAATCCCATGTTGGAGGGTGTCCCAGAGCTAGCCCCTAGGCAGGGCTGGGGAGGGAAAGCAGGCGGAGGATGAACCTTTATTTTTCACTATCCCCACCCAATTCCAAAGTATGAAATGTTGCTTAATTTTCAAATTCAGGTTTTATGACTTTAGGGAGAATGCGGGGGTCACCACCTTTCCCGTACCTGCTTGTTTATAAACTGTCCCTTGGTAATGGATGGAGGCTTGGTGCCATGTCTTTAATTAATGACAGCCATAAAAGGTTTAGAGAGATATTTTGGAATTTCACTAGGACTGGGGGCAATAAAAGATCACAGCATGCAGAGAGAAGTCTGTGGAATGTGGAGGGACCTGGCAAATTCTAAATGAATACCTACATGTGCTCTGACTGGGGCACAAGAGAATTCTATTTTTAATATTCAGACTCAGACCCGCTTATCGTCACACTAGTTACTTGTGTTACATGATCATCAATCATTGTTTGATGGTGTTGTGTTGAGGTTTAGATACCATCCCTGAAGCCTCCCTAGTGGTTGATCGTTCTGAGTGGTTGATAGTTCATTTACCAGTTAAGAGTAGTGCAGACATGTTCAGTAACCAAATAAGTACATTCATCTGGATTTTTCTGGAGTTGTCCATTAAGCTTTGCTGGAGACTTTAGGACAACTTTCACTGCATTTTCATTCTTTTATGTTCGACAGTATACATTTCACCTCCCTATAGCTCTACTTTAAATGTTGAAAGTACAGGTTAAACAGGTGTTAGCTTCTGTAGTCTTAAGACAATAATATAATAATGAAATATAGTGCTCCGTATAAGAAACAAAAATAATGTTTGGTGAATTCTCTAACAAAGATATACTTAAAAATGTTTGGTTTATAGAAAGTTTTACTTCCATAATACATCTTAGAAAATAAACTCACAGGGTTATTCACAAAAAGGTGAAGAGTTTGGAGAAGGCAGGAGAAGTGAACAATCTAGGACAATATAGCTGATTTGGAAAAAATATCCAATTCAACTCACTTTCCAGTTCAGCTATGTTGTTCTAGATTGTTCACTTCTCATGCCTTCTCCAAACCCTTCACCCTTTTGTGAATAACCCTGTTAATAAAAAAGTGGAAGAACTGAAGTTTTCCTTACAGAAACTTTGGTTTCCAACTGTCAATGACTTACTGAAGGCTAGAAAACCAAATTCGCCCATACAAGTGAAATATGGGCCAGTAACCTAACCCAGGCTTGGGTACAGAGAGCACCACTGAAAGATTTGGTAATACACATATATAACCAAATCTGATCAGTCTGTCCAAACTGAACTTTTGAGTGTTTAATTATTGTCTGGGGGAAATTGTATTGTATGACTACATTGATTAACCTGTCATACAATGTCTGAATGGATATCTATTGACTTTAGGGTTACCCTTAAGACACATGATTATTATCAGATTATGTCTAACATTGCATATTCTACCAGATAATCAGATCGTGCATGGGCACCATAAAATGACTTTGTGTTTGAATGTAAGAAAGGTTTATAATTAGTAATCTCACAAAGATTAAAAGGCAAAACCAGGAAAGATGTTGTAATCTATTTACAGGTCGTGTTTTTTAATTTATTATGTGTATTACAAAGACCCTAGCAGATGGGGGTCCCGCTCAGTGATGCTTTTTGGGCTCTGATAGTGGCTGGAACTTTGCTCTTGCAGACACTGTTTAGTTGGAGCAGCTGTAGATGTTGGCTTATCAGACACTTGTCAAATTGTGGCTGATGCTGTGTGGACGGAGAACTCATGCCTGTTTTGGTTCTTGGCAGTCTGTTAAGATAATTGACCAGATCTCAGGTCTGTGATTGGTAATTGTCATGTGACTGAACTGCATGTGCCTTATATGCTTGAAATTCTGGTGCTTTTATATTTAAGTGGTCTATTCTTCTTCTTCCTTCCCTTCAGTCTGGTGGCTCTGACCAAGAGCGCACAAAAAAGCAGCGCCGTGGAGATCGTTACTCTGTACAGACATCACTTATTGTGGCCACTCTGAAGAAGATGCTTCCGATTGGTCTCAACATGTGTTCCCCAACCGACCAGGAGCTGATTACATTGGCCAAAACACGCTATTCTTTGGTGAGTGTGGTGTATGTAGAAAAATATAATTGGGAGGTATTCAAGGTATGCATTTTACCAAAAGTTAATATTAGAAATATATATACATATCCTAGAATATTTAGATACAACGTGTTTTGCATATGTGTCCTACAAAGCTAACAACAAAATATAAGAGCCTGCAAAATGCTTTGTTCAAGGGCTTATCTTTTTGTCTGGTATATTTAAAGCCAGTTTGAAGTAACAAAAATACAACTGTAGTCAGATAGACATTGTACCAACATTGTAAGTGAGAAAAAAGGAATTTCCTGCAAAACTCTGTTACAATTCATTGCAAGTTGGATGTACAGAACTGTAAACGTTTCCGTTCCTGGTCGAAGTCCGGATTTTAGGCACCTTTAAATCCCACCACATCATCTTTTACATACAAAAAAAAGTTTAAAGAATAGCTAATGCCTTCATAATCATACATGACACCAATTTTTGTCTATAATGTATAATTTTCTTTTATTTAATTTTACAGAAAGACACAGATGAAGAAGTAAGAGAATTCCTGAATAATAATCTCCATCTTCAGGGCAAGGTTAGTCCTTTCTGACCTGCAGTAGAAATCTTTGTTGCTCCATGATTTTATTCTCCTATGACATTCCGGGCCAGATATCCATCACTGGGGCCTGTAGGCATAATGACCTTTAGTGCCCAGAGCCTCTGGCAGGATCACAGAACATTTCCTTGTATTACTGACCATAGCTTGGAATATGGTGAAAATGTGTAGAATAGCTAATGAGATGACTTAATACCTGCTGATGATGGGAAGAAAATGTGTGGTTGATATATACAGCTAAAGTCATGTCTTTGCTACTGCACCTAATGGTAAATTTTTGTGGTCTGCTTTGTCTACTTTTAATCAAACTAGCCAAAAATTGGGTATTTGACTTGGTTACAACCAACACTATAGGTGAACCTAAGTATGGGATGCCTTTTTTTTCAAAATTGCTACTGGGGTGGAGTGGAGTACTGACTGTGCTGACCTTTGGAGCTCCCGGTCTCACCAATTGATCTTCGGGGGACAGACGCATCTGGCGGAACACAGGAGCCACTCCACATTCATCAGCCACCATTGAGTTGAAGCATACCCAGAACGTTCCTACCGAAGGCTATATTTGAGGGTCCAGCACCTTCACACCTCCCACACGCCATCAACCTAAGGACACTCAGCAGCTGCCGATCTCTGGATTATATATATATATGTTTTCCCTTGCTAATTGAACGTTTGACCCGCATATTCACCTCTCCACGAATACCTAGGACTCCAGGATCATCACTTTCACCCCCATCATTGACGCCGCGTCACCACTAACTGAACGATCCCACACTGCCATCCCCTGGATCCAGCCTTGCCTTTTGCGCCTCCCACCAACACCGCACTATCCACCATCCACCCATCAGGCCCCCACTCCACTTAGACCCCTACCTCTCAGACAGGCTCGACTCAGTTGTGGCGCTTCCTTCCCTACCTTTTGTTCTTCTTTGACAAACAACGGACGCCCCGGTCCGCACAAATGTGAAGCAGCACACTGAGGATTCAACCTCCCAGCCCCCAGCGCTGTGCCAAGGGACAACTCTCCTACTTTTTCATTAGAACCTCTGTCAGGATTTAATTGCTGTCTTTGTCCCCATGAGGGAGATGCTTCTTCACTTTCTGTCCAGGTGACAAGTGTCATATAGACCAGGGAATAGATGAGTCTCCTTTACAGAGACATCATCAACAATTAAAACCTGAAAGAAAGACCTAACCCTTCCCGACTCTATCCAATACACAAAGATTTGTCTGCTTTTGGACTTTAATCCAGGAAATCAGAGCCGGATCTTAGAGAATAGCTAGGGTTCCCAGCTGTAACCGTTATGCTCCTGCAGTAAACCAGGGTAGCACAGTTGGGGTCAAAGCTATGCACCTGTGTGTCCCTTCACAAAGAATGATATACTTTTAGAAGTTGGTGATTGATGGGGCAATGCCTGTACAAACAATGCACATTATGTAGCTTCTTTGTGCATATTACAATCTTTATCAATGTCGGTCAAAGGGATGGCGGGATCAAAGTTGCTGCCTTGCCTAGGGCCCCATTCTGCCTTTTGGTAAGGTCAGGAAGATAAATTGCCAGCTACCACACTGATGTGTTTGTTTTGCCTTCATCTTCTTTAAAGGTTGAATTATGAGGTTTGCAAAAAACACAGTTGACTGTGAATGAAATGCGGAGGTGTTGCTTAAAGGGCCGCAGCTAACGATTGTTTTCTCTCTCTCTCTCTCTCCCCCCCCCTTAACTAACTAACAAATAATGAGAATAGTTGCCAACTATTCTCATAATCTATTATTATCGATTTAATCGATTCGTTGTTGCAGCCCTAGCTGCTGGCTTCCATGTTTCTTCCCTGTACTAGGAATATGACAGCATGATTCAGGTTGCCTCCATATCCTGCCACCATGATAGAGTTAGTTTTAAGGGATGAGCTGACTTCATGAACCTTTTTTAAGATATAGGGAGGCTTCTTTCCTGTGCAGAAAGGACAACACTCTCTGTTCTGTATATTGATATCTATTCTCTGGTCAGGTGGAGAATTCCTCAATGCGTTGGCAGATGGCTTTGTACAATAAGATGTCAGGTAAAGCGGAAGACTGCAACAGCCCTGAGAAGATTGTGAAACGTGTACAGGAGGTCTCTGCTGTGCTATATCATCTGGAGCTGGTGAGTTTCTGTTTGGATTTGTAAATGTTCTGTTGAGCTAATTTAGTAAGGCAATGAAAAAATTATTGATGATGTAAAAAAGAGAAGTAAGCCATAGTAACCAGTCAGAATTAGGCTTATTCTAGTCAGGCCAGTGATTGATCACTTGTGATTAGACTCAAAGGGGTCTATTCACGAAGCTGCCGAAGGACCTAGCCGTAGCTTCGGCCGATTTCTCAGCCGATCCAGATGTTGGATCGGCTGAGTCGAACTCCTTCTGCACTTCAGGTTGGCCGAGAATGCTGAGCATGTTCAGCCGACCCGAAGCCACACGAAGCAAGCCGATGTACGGCTGATTTCAGCCGATGTACGGCTGAAATTAGCCGAACAGTGTTCGGCTCACTTCACTTCAGATCGTTCATTCACTCGGCTGCCCTCGTCAGCTTCGTGAATAGACCCCTTTGTGTTGAAGCACATTGCTCTTTGCCTTATTAAAGTTGCACTTCAGGCAAACAGGGAAATAAACAGTTGAAATACATATATGTGACCTGTTTTACCAGCCTACGGATTTGTATTTCTGGTAAGTCTGTCTTGTGCTCCAGATGCCACCTATCAGACAGAATAACCAGTTCCTGAACTTTCCAGCAAACTGTACTACATTTAAGGAATGCAACCAGGTCTTGGACCACCCCAGTCTGCAATCGGCTGTGGCATGTTATGAAGCTATGAGGTCATCTCTGTACTTTTCACTCCTGTAAGAGGTGTGGGTTCCAACAGCTTTTAATTATTTTTTTTGTAATGAATATATAACTGAATTAAATTTTTTTTAAATATTTGTCTATATAAGCATTACTTATTGGTTACATGCTCATCACATTCCATTTGCTCTCCTGTTCACCGCCAGACTGAACACCCCTTCAAGTCCAAGAAAGCAGTTTGGCATAAGCTTCTCTCCAAACAACGTCGGCGTGCCGTTGTGGCCTGTTTTCGGATGACACCACTGTACAACTTGCCCAGGTAGGTGCAAAAAAATATAATATGTATAATTAATGTCCAGAGTGACCTCTAAGCAGTTGCTGAGCGCATTTGCTAAACTTATAAACATTAAAACGCTAATATATAGCTTAAAGTGGACTTTGCACTTAAATGCAAGGCCCGCTTTCAATTACTGTAACATTCTGTCCAGTAATCCTATAGATGAATACAGCAGAACCTGTCCACCTTATTAAGCCAAAAATGGCAGACACTATAGCACAATAGACTGTACAAAGAGTGTTAAACCTCTCTAACTCCAGACAGGTGTGGAAATTGTCAGGTACTTTTTGTGTGTGGTATCTGTTTTGTATAAAATTGTCTTGTTTAAGTGTTTACCACTGCCCATATTTTACTCTTAGCTGTCTTGTGTATGGAAACTTTGATTTACAAGTTATTCGAATTTTGGTTTTCTTCCCAGGCACCGTGCATGTAACATGTTCCTGGAAGGTTATAAACACAACTGGATTATGACTGAGGAGCATGACTTTGAAGACAGGATGATTGATGACTTGGCGGTAAGTAACCAGCACAGACAGGAGTTAGGGGCTGATGTATAACACCGTCGCTCAGCGTATAGCTATGTAAATGACATTCGCAGCACATTACTGCCACTAGATGTAGCCGAGGAGCATAGGAATTATTTGCTGTGAAATTCGTTCGCACAGCTATATGCTGTGTGGTAGACATGTAAGCTGCAGAAAAATTCGGTTCGATTCGGATATTTCATTATTTCGGGATTCGAATCCAAAATTCAATTTGGTTCGGGTTTCGGATTCGGACGAAATCCAAAGTTTCGAATGAGCTTACAAATATTCGTTGCAAATACCACAGAAAACCATATACAGATATTAATACTAAAGCTGAATCTCCTAGACCCGAATGGCAGGATCTGGGAGCCATATTCATATATTACTAAAGCTGAGGCTCCCAGACCCGAATGGCATTCGGGAGCTTCCGAATGAAATTCGGAAATTCGGATCCTGATTGCCATTCGGGTCTAGGAGCCTCAGCTTTAGTATTATATGTATATACTATATATGGCTCCCATGTTGCCGTAACAAACATTTAGAACGAAATTCGGACGGGATCCGAAATTCGGAAACGGAAATTTGGATTCGGACACATTCGAATGCATTGGGATTCGGAAATTCGAATGTGTCCGAATTTCAGAAAATTAGTACGAATTTGGAACTAAACGAATCGCACATGTCTACTGTGTGGACGCATAATTCATTTGCCCCTTAAAGGTGTATGAAAACCCTTACAATGAACTTCTCTCATTTGCTCCCTTCTGATTTGCTAAATATACCCTCAAGCGTTTTTTTATAGCTGTTCAATAAGTGCGACAAAAAAACCTGTTGATTATGTCAGAAATTTCGAGATGTCCTGTGTCTTGTGCACAATTTCTGTGTTATCTCTAGGAGGCTAATCCTAGCCCTCTCAGTTCTTATCTTGGAACTACAGAATGATTAGCGTTTATGTTGTGGAGATGGGAGAAAGGGTTGGTCTGAGTAGTTTAGCAAAAGAAATGTAGGCTGGGCTGACACCACTCGAAAAAAATAAAATGCTGTGTGTTGTCAGCTCACAACCCGATTTGTGCATTTCTAGCAGATCAAATATTTTTCTGTACTGGCAGGGCCTGAGTATGCAAGTAGCAAATATGGATGCTCCCATTTAGGAACTTATTACACTTAAAAGAGAAGGATAGTAGACAACTTCTATTTATGCATTTATATATCATATACTCAGTTGGATTTGCACACATTTTAAAAACTTTACCTTCTTGTAAACCTAATTTCCCAGAAATCTGGCGAGAACGAAGAGGAAGAGGAGGAAGTAGAGGAGAAGAAACCAGACCCTCTACACCAACTCATCCTTCATTTCAGCAGAACAGCTCTGACAGAGAAAACGTGAGTGCACACGAACATAGTGAACCTTTAGCTCTGTGCGATATCGTTTATATGAAACTTTCCCCATTGAGAACTCACAATTACAAAATTATTTTCTCTGCAGTAAACTAGAAGAAGATTACTTGTATATGGCATATGCGGATATCATGGCAAAGGTAGGTTAGAAAATGCAATGTGCGGCATTGGCATATAAAAAAAATCAGTTATCTGCATTTGTAATTATAGGAATGGTATAATATTTTTATTTACTAGTGCGCTGTAAATGACCCAAATCCTTACCCAATTGTAAAATACTAGTCATAATTTGGTGCTTTTATCTTATATATGGCTTTATTTACTAATGATTTTAATTTTTTTATATGGGGGGCCTAAATTCTCTCTTAAAGTCCCCCGCCCTTCTGCCCTAACTTGTAGCGCATTGTGAAGATTGTATATACACACACACCTTACTGCTATGTAGAGATTTGCTCATGTACATTTACTGCAGCTGTCACTTATTGTGCTAGGAAGGGGTGATATCCATAAGCACAAATACTCACGTTTCTCAGGTTTCCACCACACTGTCCACCACACTGAGAGGTATTGATTGGGTCAATGCAGCCACATGACCCCTCCGGCTCCAGCCATGAATGAGCTTGATTAGCCACCGATAGTCTAAGCATGGTGTGCTTGCAAGTGAGCAAATTAAAACATAAAAAATAAAAGCAGGAACCCAAAGCAACCAAGTAGAACCCAGTCTGCTGAAGTCAGACAAGTATAAAATGAATTCTGATTGACAGTTATGCTAAAAACTTTGAATGAAGTATCTTCAAGAATAAACGCAGCTAGTGATGATACTAGTAACAAAGATTTGACCTAGATTAGATTTAGCAACTTTATTCAGCAGCTTTTTAGGATAAAGACATTAGTTCAGCATTGATTTATTAATTTAAATAGAAACACTGCTTTTCTCCACCCAGAGTTGCCATATGGAAGAAGAGGGGGAAGAAGCTCCAGAAGGTGAAGAAGAGGAGGCGGAACTCACATTTGAGGTATATTGTACTTTTGATGATTCCTTTTGTCTGCAATTCTTGTAGGGTCACTTTTCATTATATTCCTTCCATTCTGAAAAGTTACAAAAACTTTGCATTGTAGCTTGCTTCAGCCCTCATACTGGTTCTTTGTTATGCCTATTTTTGCCTATGTTCCCCCACAGTATTAGTTAGATGAGGCCTTCCATGTCAGTACTTCTTCACAAATGTATTTTATGGTGAATTTGGTAATCATTTCATTCAAAGCAAACCTAGAAACATATATATTTTTCACATTAACTATGTGAAAGCAAATTAATTTGTAAATGTAATTCTTCCAGGTATTTATTACCTCTCACATACATCACATTACTCCCCCCTGACAATGTAACCACAAACAAAAAACGTTCACTGACCTAGTGTGATGAAAGAAAATACATTTGTACTCCGAACTATACGCCTGTCGTCATCTGAAGTAATCAGTTGGAACATTCCTATGTGGCTCTTCTGGGGACTTGTTGATCTGCAAAGTGGTGGTGTCTTTGAGAGAGCCTCCAGTCAAGTAGTGCAGATGCCCTGATCATGTGCAGTAACCAGGCACCGTGTTTCATGGGTTTATTCCCCCTTTGTTAAGGCTTGAGTTAAGGAAAGGTCCACTTAAAGTGATCACTTGACCTCTCATCCAGGTAAAATTATCTTCCCCACAAACCCAAGAATGAGGTCAGAAACAGCCTTTTCTCCATCCCCAACACCTACTACCTAATCCACAATTCTAATATCACATCTTCTCCAGATCCAACCTTGACCCCTCATGGTAACTACTTCAACTTTCAATTTGTTTTACCTGTTTGGTGTTGTGAACATCCATGAACACTGAAACATTCTTTAAGCACAGAGAATGTCTTACCTTAGGGATCTTATAATTGCTGTGGATATCTCTTTGATCAGAATAATCCATAAAGTTTAACAATTTCTTTGGAGGAAGTGGCTGAATTTTGTAAATGCCCATCTCAAATGAATGGTAATTGTTACCAAATATACAAATAGCTCATTTATTAAACAATGTTAGTTTTCACAGTTAACTCTTCAATGGTTGTTGTTACAGGAGAAAGAAATGGAGAAACAGAAACTATTGTACCAGCAGTCTCGTCTCCATAACCGTGGAGCGGCTGAGATGGTCTTGCAGATGATAAGCGCATGTAAAGGTGAGGGGTCACCTTAAGGCACCAAAATAAAGCTGGCTGGCTAGGCAATTGTTCTCAGATCAGATCTCTTACATGTTGTGCTCTATTCAAATGGTCCATTTTTATTTACTCTCTCAGGGGAACCAGGAGCTATGGTCTCCTCAACGCTCAAGCTAGGAATTTCCATCCTTAATGGAGGAAATGCTGAGGTCCAGCAGGTAAGAAAAGTTCAGCCGATGATGATTTTATAACAAATAAAGGAAACTTATAATGAGGAACTGTGGGAGCTGCAATTGCTGACTTCTGCTTGCGAAAATACAATCATCCATTGGCTTCATTACTTTCTGAGCCATTGACTTAGATATGCAGATAAGAAATTTTGACTTAATTTTTATTTTCCTGATCTTCAAGCTTGTTTAAGGTCATTGACATAAATGACAGAAACCAGAAACAGTCAGCCAGTTAGCTCGAGTAGCACAAATCGCTGTGCTAATAAGGATACAACGTTGTTTCCTTTATGATGTTTATTATGTTCAATACTATTTGTTCTTTTAACCAGGTAAATTTGAAATATTGCATATGAGTATTTCATATTTTCCTTTGCAGCCATTAGGTGAAGCTGTTGGCACCTATTTACAGAATCTCAAGGTTAACTTATTTGATTTGCTGAAAAACGTGTTTTTTATAGAGCTGTACAGCTGGAGCTCAAATTAAACACACATATGAATGATTTAGAGCAGAGGCTGTGCTCAGCTTGTGCAGAGTATCAATTGATAGAGACTGTCAGAAGGGGAGCAAAATCTAGAATACACTGCAGGTTTCCTTCATAGTTCTAGCCAAAGGATGATCCCTTTGAAGGCTTCTTACACAGGTATTTTGTTTGATCACATATAGACATGTAAGTTTATTTTGTTCTGAATTAAAATTCTAACAAATTCCTTTAAATTCGGACATACGGATGCATCCAAATTCGAACAAATGCCAATTTGTTTTTCAGAATTTCAACATTTCCAATTCTAATGACCAAAATGGACAAACATGACCAGTACAGACTAAGATGACCAGCCCAGAACTAAAATGACCAGTATAGACTAGGATGACCAGTAAGCGCTAAAATTACCAGTAGGGACTAAAATGACCAGTACGGGCTAAGATGACCAGTGCAGAATAAGATGACCAGTATGGACAAAAATTACCAGTACGGACTAATATGACCAGTACAGACTAAGATAAGCAGTATGGACTACGATGACCAGTATGTAATAAAATGACCAGTGTGGACTAAGATAACCAGTATGGAATAAGATGACCAGTACGGACTAAAATGACCAGTACGGACTAAAATGACCAGTACAGACTCAGATAACCAGTATAGAATAAGATGACCAGTACGGACTACAATGACCAGTATGGACTAAGATAGCCAGTATGGAATAAGATGACCACTACGGACTAAGATGACCAGTACGGACTAAGATGACCAGTATGGACTAAGATGACCAGTACAGACTAAGATGACCAGTACAGACTAAGGCCCCATTCACACTGCGCGATTCCCAAATCGCGCGTTTGTCGCGCGATTTGCATTCTGCGCGATTTGTTGCGCGATATCGCGCAAATGCTTGCATTGAGCAAGCTAGAATCGCGGCAAAATCGGCTCCAAAAAGGGTCCTGCTGTAGCGACGCACGACCCCCGACAGCAGGACCCTTTGCCCCATTGCCAAGCATTGGAGAGCGATATCGCACGGTAAATAGCCGCGATATCGCGGGAATTAACGCGCGATAAATCGCTCAGTGTGAACAGGGCCTTAGATGACCAGTACAGACTAAGATGACCAGTACAGACTAAGATGACCAGTACAGACTAAGATGACCAGTACTGACAAAGATGACCAGTACAGACAAAGATGACCAGTACAGACTAAGATGACCAGTAAGGGCTAAGATGACCAGTACGGGCTAAGAGGACTAGTACAGACTAAGATGACCAGTATAGAACTAAAATGACCAAACCCCATCCAAATTGATCCGAAATGAAAGCAAAAAATTAAAATTGATCTGAATAACGAACCAAATAAAATTTCGGAAAATTAGAATCAATCCAAAACTAAATGAAACTTTACATGCATAATCACATATTCCCTTTAAAGCACTCCACTTATCTTGTTGGGTCATCCCATGTAAAACAACACAGTTTAAAAAAATTGCAGAAAAATACTCACTTTGTACCCTGGCTTCCAGTAGGCGAGGGTGACACCAGTCCAGCTTTTTGTGGGATCCTGGCAAAGCAGAAGATTCCGCATCTTGTGAGAAGGTAGTGCTGGAGTATCTTCTTATGAGATTTGGCATCTTCAGCCTTCCCAGGAGAAGGCCCACTGGCATCATCGGTGCATACAGGAAGCTGCCAGGAGCGGAGGTGTGGGGTGAGTATTTAATGCATTCTGCTTTCCTCAATTAATAAAACTGGTGGGTTTTAGTGAGACGCCAAGCTCTATTTTACCCTAGCCAACAAGTGGCAAGGTCTACTCAGTCTTTATTTTATTTACTACAACTGCTTCAGAGGACGTTTCTCCATAAATGTGGTAAAGTATTAATTATGAATGTTAAGTTCCCCCTCGAGCACCTGTACATTTTTTTGCAGAAAATGCTGGATTATCTGAAGGACAAAAGGGAAGTTGGCTTTTTCCAGAGTGTGCAGGCCCTGTTGCAGACTTGCAGGTATGCTGTAAAGACTTACTTATGTGCAAAGTGCTGTAACCCATGGCACTCTTCAGTTCCACTCTCTGTGTTAAACAGGGCTTGCTAGATGTTGGTTGTAAGGGAAAGTATTTGCTGTTATTATTGCAGTGCTTATTAGGTGGGTAAACTGACAGAGTCTTTTTAAGGTAAAACGTTTTTGGATCAATTTTATTTTATTTATTTATTCAGTTCTTACATTACTACATTTTAAACCCCCGTGTTATGCCTGTTTTTTTTTTTTACTGTATATAACTATATATATATATGATCTTTGTTGCAGTAATAAACTTTTGATTTGCAAAGCACTATGGGTTGGCCAACAAAATGCTCAAAACTAGACTGTCCTTCGTAATATACCATATTTGCTTTTTATGCACTAATACACTGTATCACTGATACCTCTCAATCATTTTCCTTGTGTGTTGCACAGCGTCCTGGACCTGAATGCCTTTGAGCGCCAGAATAAGGCAGAGGGACTTGGCATGGTGACAGAAGATGGTACAAGTGAGTAATGCGTGCCATGAATCTGATGTTATAGATTCATTGGTACAATAACCTGATCTTACATTTTAAGTCAAGACAGTAATTCCAGCTCCAGGGGGTCTATCACGGGATAGCTAATTCTATCTATTCCATTCTATAGTAATTCTATCACGGGATAGCTTTTCATTTATTTAAGATTCAGGCCACTTATAATTTCATTTTGCGTGAATGCTGGAATGTTATGTGACCCACTCACTTCTTCTTTGTTTCATGGACCACAGGCAAGAGAACTATGTCCCTGAATATTAAGCTTTACCTCGCTGAAGCTGCCTTTTTCAAGGGTTTGCTTTCTATTGGCTGCAGAGGACAAGAAGCTTAGTGGAAAACATTAGAATGGAGTCTGTGAGAGATAAAGGAAGTCAGTGGGTGGTTTATATCTTCAGGCCTACTCTTGGATGAAATACCTACCGTAACTGTTTGACGCATTCCGTTATATTGCAGTTTTTAGTTATCACATGCCATTCTATACACTTAAATACACTGAAGAGTTGATGTAAACGATGTCACTATCTACATCAGCATTTCTAAACCTTTTCTCAGCCACGGCACCCTTTATAAGTAAATAAAATCCCCCCAGTCTAATATGTTAAATCTATGAACGCAAACAATTACATGCAGTCGCCCCTTTCACATCAAGAGTCCCCCTTTACATCAGGAGTCCCCTTCTTTCACATCACAGTCCCCCCTCTCACACTAGAAAACCCACTTCAAATCAGAAGCCCCCTTCACATCAGAGTTTCCCTCTTTCACATCAAAGGCATGACGTTGTGCGTAAATTTCAAGCCATCCCTGAGGAATCCAGAAGACACCCTAGGGTGTCACAGCACCCGGGTTAAAGAGAGGTTGATCTACATTATTATGAAAAATGCTTTAAATGCTTTAACTGTGTACTGTGGTTTAGGTATAATTATATGTTATTAGATTTACAGACAGTAGGTTTACATTGATTCATGAATATTCTTTTTTCAATATTGTTTTCTTTACCTAATGTATTCTAGGTTCTACTAAGTTATGAAACTATCTGCATTCCTTTTAGGATTTGTTGAACCGCACTCTGTGTAAAGTACATGATTTTTTATTTTTGTTTTTCATTAAATTAAGCTCAGTGAGGTCATTAGTAAGTTGCTGTTCTTTATTTAGCAGAAACAAAGTTGAATTTATGAGGTCATTAAGTTAGTTTTATTGAACTGTTACTTGTAACTTGATTTTCATGAATATCTGATTTGCATTTTCCCCAATCGACCCATCTTTTTCCTAATCCCATCACCTCTAAACCCCAAAAATAATATGATTTGTATTACAGTTGTACTGTATCTTTCTTTCTCTTTTCTGTTTTGTGAAGTGGGTGGGGAATGTTCTATTCTTGGCGCCATCCAATTAATGTGTTTGATATAATGATATTCACATTTTCCTTCCTGTTCCCTGACATATGGTTGTGCCCCCCTCCTTTTCCTGCCTGTCTCACTCATTCCCTGACCTACTTGGTACCCAGTCATCAACCGTGAACAGGGTAAATGTTCATTTAAACCTCACTCCACCAGTGCTTCTACTAACAGGTCACTGCCCCCCCCTCCTCCTTTCTGCCTCAGCTGGCCATGGCCACCACAAAGAGACCAAGAGTGTTATCATTTTATACATCATTGCTCTATTTTCAATTGGAGTTTTGTGGTAAGCCCCATCCAATGAGTATAAAAGCATTGGCCACTATCTCATGAAGGTCTCACCTTACAATTATCTCTGTATGACCTCTTTGCAGGATCTACAGAAGTAATAAGGTTTCTTTATACATCATAGCTAAGTGCTTTTTAAGAGTATCAAACTCTGCTATATACAGCTAGTCTCCAACACATGCAAAGGCAGTAATTACATTTTACACAATACTGGTAAGACTTCATCTGGCATATTTCTAATTGTCATGTGACTTTGTGATTTGTTTGCATAGTAGTGACCATTGTGAGACCTAACTGGAGATTGTAGCCATGGTCAGCTGAGCGAATTCCATCACCACTAATTCACTTGCACTCTGTTCCTCTTACTTTCCCAAATACTCATTTACCCCCTTCCTACCAAAGCCTCAGGTGTCAATGAATCAATCAGTAAATTATGGTGACCTTATAGAAAACTGAACCTTGAGTTCATCTCCTCAGTGGTGGTACCTGAGCTCGTGGACAGTAGTAATTACTTTTCGGTGCAATGGCATTCAGTTTCCCCTTTTTCTCTTTCTCTTCTCCTGGGTTAGAGAGGGTCATCAATGACCCTTAATACTATTGAGAAGTAGCATGTTGATGTCTTCTGAGAAGGCACAGCAAAATGCATTAAGGCATAATAATCTTGACAGGGTTGACAGGACCTAATTAATTATTGTAGGCAGTGTACTTTACAAATGCTTTTTGCACGGTGCCCTTTAAATACATCTTTGTTTATTGGTAAGCTGTAAATATATAACGGAGAGGTCAAGTGATTACTGCTGTTGCTGTACCCTTTAGGGAGATTTTACTTTATTTGTCCTAGTGACCATTGTCCCCAGAACTGAGTCAGAGAAATCCAACATTTTGAGATGAGAACCCTTGTCCTGGTGACAACTCTTTAAGAGGGGTTTTCCCTTTCTTTTAAAATATTTTCTCTTCCTTCCTGTTTTGTCTATAGGACAGGAAGTCAAGGGAGATCTCAGTAATGAGACACAAACAGCAAAAAACCCAGTCAGTGTTTCTATTATTTTCTAATCTATCCAAAATAAAAGACAAAATATTGGCTTTATAGATCAGTCATTATGTATCCTTTCTATGGATGTCTATCCTTGGTTCAGTTTTGATCACTTTATAATGAGGTCTAGCAGACTAGGAGAAAAGTCTATAGGAGTTATCCCTCTCTTCAACACCTTCTGGCGACCTAACCGCATGAGTTCAGTTTCTTCTGGTTTGTAGTGTGTTGAGTTTGGGAAAGAACTAACTTTTCTCTGAGTGATTCTCACATGGCTGGATAATAACCCACAAGCCTGCTACTGTTTTTTCTTCTTTTGTCTCTTTCGCTGTTTCTTTTTCTAAATTCCATCTGTATTTATCTTTGCATCTTCTCACTTTTTCTCTTTATCCTATACATTTTAGTGTTCCATCTTACATTCTTCGTTTTATCTTCTACTTCCATCCTTTTTCTATCTTCTTTTTCCTATTTATATCTCATGACTCGGTGTCCCACCACATCAGCTGGTGTATTGTGTTCACGCTTTCCTCTCTTTTCTCTTTCTCCAACCATTTTTTTCCCACCTCTTTCCAGATTTTGCTTCTCATGTATTATGTTCTGCGCCTGTCTTTACTGTTACATTACATTATGTGTGTCCCGTCTCTAATTTTCGCCTTTTTCTATGATCAACAACTCCAGGAGAGAAGGTGATGGCGGACGACCAGTTTACTCAGGATCTGTTCCGCTTTCTTCAGCTGCTTTGTGAGGGGCACAATAATGGTATGATATAGAGAGGTTTATTCAAGCATGCGTGTTCTATAGGATTGTTGTAAAATTGAGTTTAACTCAGATTTTGGAAGTGGCTTAAAGAATACCTAGCAGTAGACATGTGCACTGCCAAAAAATGTGTTTAGTTTCGTTTCGTTTTAAATTCGGATTTGTGTTATTTCGTTTTTCGGGATTCGGGTGTGAAAGTCAATTCGGATTCGGATTCGGAATTCGGATTCGGACGAAATTCGTTAGCGGTAGGTCGTTTGAACGTTCGTTTCGTTTCTTATTCGTTTCGTTCATTCGTTCGTTCATTTGCAGCAAAGTGACATTTGAGGGGGAAAAATATTTTTCTCCTTCTCTAATGTCACTTTGCTCCAAACGAACGAAACGAATAAGAAACGAAAACGAAACAAACGTTCGAACGAACTACCGCTACCGAATTTCGTAAACGGAAATTTGGATTCGTTTGCATTCGTTATATATGTAATTCGGAATTCAGATACATCCGAATGTCCGAATTTCCGAAAATTCGTCCGCATTTCGATTCGGAACGAAACGAATCGCACATGTCTTCCTAGCAGTACATTTACAAGTCTAGATGGCGTGATTACCGATATGTTGCAATATATATATATATATAATTTAAAACACATTCCTTGAGATCCAGTCAAGTGACCATGTAAAGAAAAAGATCATTGTGGTAGAATTATGTAATCAGTTTATTGCAGGCTGGAGGAACCATTTCCTTAGTCTACCGTCCCTCAAGCACAGGGACTGTCGTAACAGTGTTACTTTCTAGAGTGAGATGCCAGGAAAAGTGTGAGATAACTTATCTATTGGCCACCATCTTTTTTAAGGAACTAAATGCTGACCCTGGATGATTTCTGAGCATTGTTAGGGGGAGTATTGCCATCAGTATTACTTAATTTTTAGTATAAAACAATAATATCCTGCGTCAAATGTGTTAAGCTGCAACATGTAAATGCCTCCACCTATTAATACAAATAAATATAAAATAGTGTCGCCCTATATAACAATGTCTTCAATCTAAATAGCACTTACTTCAACAAGTTATAGTGATATATATACTGTAAGTGTAACACCCTTTTAAAACCACACCATGGGAACACATCTGCATCATAAGCACCAAAAAAGCCATCTTGATAGATTGGTTGACGTCCACTCCAACATCACTACTTAGGTTTAAGTCGGTGCTACACCGGCTCATGTTGCTCGACAAATTAGATACAAAATTCAATTTGCAACGCACCAAAACATTCTTCGATACCTGGTCTGCCTATTTGATCTCTGAATTAACTACAGAGCAATTGCGTGACGTAATGATTATTTTCCAATACTCCACGTGGTTTCTCACTGCCAAACTCTCTAACACACTTGGCGATCTAGATGTACTTTAGAAGCCTCTTATTCATTCATACACATTTAACCCCAGGATTATACTTCCCTAATTATCCATCTTTATCTCTTTTTCTTTATTCTCGTTCAGCACCTTAAGATTGCAGCTCTGAATCGCTCTACTAATACCCAACAACTTCTCTTTTTCATATATTACATGGATCATATGTCGTTAAGGCTATTCAAATTTACATTAACAAATGTCATCCCAGTTATTTTTGAGTTTTGAAGTTTTTACTCTCTGTGTACTTCATTATATGATGGTATCTCTTATGTTTGCATGAATGTGCACTGTTGAAATTTAACTGTGGATGTTTCCACAACTCATTTTGTCATACAAAAGTCTGTACATTATGCAATATTGAAGCCTGATAATTGTACTGTACTTACTTTGCAATAAAAAATTAACATGCAAAAAAAAAAAAACCACATCATCTGTTGTTCTGTTGTACTGTGATTTTACACCGTGCTTTTCTATAATAACATAAATCCTATTTTTCATACAAAATACTAACAATCATCCAATATTTCCACAAATAAAAATAATTTACCAAGTATAATTCCTAATATATATCAAAAAATGTTGCAATTTCCAAATAATAGCAAGTCAATGTCCAGTTTTATACTACTACAATTCCTAGTGCTGTCAGACCACAGGTAATGATGAGTCAGGCTCTTAATCCTCCACCCGAAAAATGCTCCTACACACAGTGTCGCCTCTCACCTTGTAATTAGACCTCTAATGGGTCTAGACCAACGATCCCCTTATTCTTCCAGGGTAAGGATACCCTTAAATGATCTCCTTCCTTCTCGTACCCTCTGTTACTGCACCTCGCTTCAGCTGCGATAATCCCTCACCATTTGCGATGCACGCAAACATATGGAAGCAAAACAAGAACCATAGTGCACATCTTTTTGATAAAGCTAAATAAACTTTATGAGTCCAGAGTAAAAATGCGATATCCAAACAGTAAGGAATAGTTATGGTTCCTTACTTTCAAAACGCCACAGCTCCTGTTCATAGCAAAGATTGCATCAAATGACTCCACCCTTGGTACAACAGATGATGTGGTTTTGAAAGGGTGTTATACTTATATATATCACTATAACTTGTTGAAGTGCTATTTAGATTGAAGACATTGTTATATATCGAGACAATATTTTATATTTTATTTTTAGGTCATAAATACTTACAGTTATTAACATGATTACATACTATTTGGCATGCATACCCTTAACATGAAAACACGTCTCTGAGTGTTAGGTCTGCTTAAAGCAGAGCCAAAACCAATATAAGAGACACAAATTACACAAACTACTGTAGCTCTGCAATCATTATTACATCATTATATGTGTTTTTAAATACCAGCAGTGTAAGTACCTTAACTTGACTCAGCATCAGCCTCTTGCCATCCCTGTACAGCAGAGCTGAAATGATAACAGAAGAAGCAGTAAAATGAGCCAATCAGTTCATGTTCTGACAAGAAGAATACTGATAGAAAGAGAAAGCAGAGACTGGGCTGCCTCTCCTTTCACTGTCCATTCACAGGGTGGGGTGGGACGGGTCAGGGTGTATACTGTAGCAAAAGTTGTTTCTCTTGTTTTATCTTGTAATGCGTTGTTTGTTTGATTGTTTTTTTTTGGGGGGGGGAGGGTAACAGTTCTACTTTAAAGCCCAATCCCAATCAAAACATTTTTTTTGTAGAATATTTCTTTATTATTTTTTTCAATAAATACATTACACAGTATACACATACAAACATTATTGTTAGGAAACCACCATATAATGTTCCGCTAATATTAAACCCATTCTTCCCTTTAAAAGTCTCCACTAAAGCGAAGCAGAAAAAAAACACAAAACCGAAGTGAACAAAAAACACAAAAGCAATCTAAAACCCTCCCAACCCTATACCCAAAAGACAAGCCACTCTCCTCTCCGCCCCCACCAGTGTCTGTATGGCTGAGCCTCTTATTTTCTATACGCACATAGTAGCACTGTCAAATTTTATCCATGGGTTCCATGTCACAAGAAATTGTGGGTGCCTATCCTGTGATGGCGCTACTAACTCTTCTACCCTTCTCAAAACTTTAAAAAACGTTTTCTTTAACCCAATCTTTATTTGCGGAGTGTCTTGAGACCTCCAATATCTAGCTGTTACCATTCTTGCAGCAAATTAAAAAAAAAAACGGAATAGGTCTTTCTTGACTTTTTTAATTGGACCTTGTATAATAGTCAATAACGCAATCTCAGGTGTAAGAGGTCCCTGGACCTTAATAAGATGTACTCCTATCTTATAAACCATTTCCCAGAAAGGTTGGATCTCTTGGCAGGACCACCACATATAGTATGTAGCATAGTGCCTTTCTCTACTCCACATCTCCACATCCCAATCAAAACATTTTATTTTGTTTTAGATAGAGTCAGGGAAGGGTTAGAACCTTCCTCAGATTTGTATTGCTGTCTTTGCCCTTACTTATAGAATTAAGGTATATATCTCCAAAGAGGACACAGATAAGAACAAAAACATATATTTAGGAGAGTAGGGAGGGGTTAGAACATCTGTTCCATGTGTTTTATTCCTGTATGTCTTCTTGTTCAGGAAATAAAAGCTCCCCCATTTCTTGTTCTGATTTTACAGACATAGGATGTAAGGGACAATTTTCCAAATGGGGTCACAGACAATACTAAAAAGTAGGCAGACATCTTCCCAATGTCAAAAATCTGAATGAAAGCCCGGAGTTAGGCCTTTTCATATATCAGCAATACAATAACACTTTATGTTTCGAAGGCGCAACCTCTACAGGCCATGTGTAGAGTGACATAGGGACTTCTGCTACAGTTTTGCTAACCATTTGGTGGAGGTGGGTAGATGTGCAGGGATGCAGTTCTGTGCACAGCAGAGATCATTCAGATGCAGTTTTACCCAGGGGCATGGAGGTGATATCCTGCATATCAAAGAGGAGCATGAGAGTTAGTTCTGATGACATTGGACACTGGGGATTGACTAAATGGATTGTCCTTCTACACTACACTGGAAAGGTAGTGGCCAGAAGGGACCCTGCTATCTCAGGTTGTAAGAAGCTCTGCAAAGTCAGAAAGTGGCCCTGCCACATTATTTTTCCATTTGGCTGTTACTTATGTAGCATATTTTTCTTGTACAGATTTCCAGAACTACCTGCGTACACAGACCGGCAACACTACCACCATCAACATTATCATCTGCACAGTGGATTATCTACTGCGCCTGCAGGTAAGTTTCAACAGCAACATGTACATTACCTTTCAATGTATACATTATTCTTAATAAAGCCTACTCATTTTTATTTGTTATTATTATGAACCTCAGGAATCTATCAGCGATTTTTACTGGTATTACTCTGGAAAGGACATCATTGATGAGCAGGGCAAAAGGAACTTTTCCAAAGCCATGTCTGTAGCAAAGCAAGTGTTCAACAGTCTTACAGAGTATATTCAGGTAACATGACTTAAGGTGTTCACGGCCTTGCACTCCCAACACTGAAGTGCACCCATCCCCTTTGATCTGACTCTACAATGTGCATAGCTCTGTGCTGAGCAGGAACAGATCAAATGAATGGGGCAATCAGTGTTGGATATACTGCTTGCCCCAATTAATTTTGTTCTGCAAATGTACTTTACTGCAAATTGTACTGCAAATGTACTTTATTTTTAAATAGAGTGTTATTTCAAATGAAACACTATTTTCTATGCTCTAGGGTCCCTGCACAGGCAACCAGCAAAGTCTGGCCCACAGCCGTCTATGGGATGCAGTCGTGGGTTTCCTGCATGTCTTTGCTCATATGATGATGAAACTAGCCCAGGTATGTATTACTCCTGCTATTTATATTACAGCCTTCTCCCCCCCTCCCTAGATGGGGTATCATGGTTCTTTGCCTTCATCTCATAGAAATAACTCTGACGAAATATGTACCCATAAATATGTACTCATATCTGTTCTGCTGGTGTTTAATTAAAAATATAATTCAATAACTTATGATTTGAGGCCTAACTACATGGCGCTCCTTAAATGTAGCTTTATTTAAACAAGCAAGATATTATTATGTGAGTGAATGCTCCTTATTGTGGAGAGAAGATGAAGGAGTCTGTATATTAAATGTAAGAGTGTTGTTCTTTTTAGTAAAATAATGTAATAGGTAAATCTACCCCATCCTACAAAACCTAATTCACTAAGGATTTTAATGGACATCCGGTACAGCACCTTGAGGAAAGTTAAAGTGCCTGTGTTGCCCAAAGTAACCAATCAGGTGGGGGTTTTTTTTCGAATTTCTCACAAGAAAAATAAAAGCCGTCATCTGATTGCTTGCTGTGGGTGACGTAGACACCATCTTTGTCACTAGGCACAGACCTTTGTGCTCTAAACGTTCTATAATTGCTGAAAATGTCACCCCTGCACACAGCAGATACCCAGTGTGATTGTTTTGATTCATTCAGAACTCACCCTTTGAGGTTTTATGCATCCAGAGGAAGACCACATCTGTGAAATGGGATTACGAGTTGATTTATGTGAAGAAAAATTTTAGATTAAGTTTTATTTTTAAAAATGGATTTTACTCTTGATAGAGATTTCCCTGTCTTGCATCTTCCCTATCTTGCATCTTCCCTATCTGCAACAGGGCAGGGGGTAGTGGTCTAGATTTTTGGTATTACTGTCTCTTCTTGCAGCTATAATGGTGTTCCCATGAGCACTATTATATCTGCATGTATTGCCTTGTCCACCTCATTAATAAGGTCTTCCTGTGGCTTAGGAAGTAGGTGCAAGGAGTGAGAACACTTTTTTTGTAGCAACATAGGTACATCTGTTCTAAAAACTTGGAAATCCCTTTTCAGTTCATTTAGCATTGCAGCCAGTTCACCCTCTCACTAATTTACTTACATCCCTAAACTTTTTTTTATATATGTGAATTAGAGTGTTTTATGGTGCACACGCATTCAATTATAATTGGATATATTAGTATGTTTACTGTACATTATGGTATGTGTGCTCTTCAGAACGTTAAAGTGTATCTATACTCTAAACTTTTTTGTAGTGTTGGCTAGAATAGGAAATAGTTAAAATCACTGTCAAAGGAGGAGCACTGGACCCTTGAGTAGAGGGTTTGGTGGCGATGAGTCCTAGTTTTGTTCGAGGGTTTAGTTGGCTGCTTCCCATCTATATGGGGGCCTTACAGGTGGTCCTTGTAGAAATCTTCGAAGGTAAAAATGGCAGAAGCGCCAACCCAGCCAAGTCTAAACTTCTGTGGAACCACAGCCTTTTATGTCATGGAGACACAACAGAAAGTGAGAGGTTATTTCTCAGAAGGGAGTATAAATCCCTTCTTGGACAGCTGCCACCAGGTGTTTAGGCATCAAGATTTCCCTTCACTTCCCGTTCCGATGTCAATTGTAAGATGTTGGATTACCCAACACTTTCTGTCCCTGTGATAATGCTTATCAGGAGACATAGAGAGGGTGACTCTCCCCAGAGGGAACATAGCTAGAAATAGACCCCAGGGGAGGTTCCAACCCTTCTTTACTCCATTCAACACTTAAAAAAACGTTTTGGCTAGAAATACACTTTAATACTTATATGTGTGAATAACACGGGAGTACTTTCCACAGATGCATGTTCAAGGAATGTGAGTGCTGCCTGCATAGATAAGATTATAGTTGATCTGATGAGTGTGAATGTGTCCTCATTTCGCAGCATGGGATGGTCAGCCCTACGTGTGGATACTTGCTTTTACTCAGAGTGCAATCTTAGTTCTCTGTTATGTATGAAGACCTTTATTACAAATGTGTGTTGCCCATATCAGTAGGCACTCTTGAGTTACAGCTGAGGTTCATTCCCTTTGTAACTCAGTTTGGGTAGCAGTGTAATAAAGTTTGGTGTGGAGTGATTCTGAATAATACTTTTATTCTAATACATAACAGATGCCCCAAAATGGAGGACTACGAAATGGCGTAAGAATATTTCTCTGTGGCACGGCTGCATTTCCTTATAATGTCTGAGCTAGACGTGCTCCCTTCCCATCTCTGTGTCTGTCTCTTACTCCTTCTTTGTCTCTGTTCCCACACACTGATTCACTCTGTCCTTATGATTTCAATTAGTGGCTTTATATTCTTTCTCTCATAAAATTACAGTGTCAGTGTTTGAAACACGGATGTAGGCAGTGGTTTAAGTCTCAAGCCTTTCATAATTAATATTTGATCACTGTGCCGTGTTCTGTGTCTAGACTCTCAATATAACTATAAAGAGCTTACAGGACATTGATCAACTAGAAACCGCTTTGACACCAAAACCTAAGTGTTTTTTTCAACATCTTAAAAGTTCAGTCCACTCACACTAACAGGGTTATTCACAAAAGGGGTGAAGAGTTTGGAGAAGGCATGAGAAGTGAACAATCTAGGACAAAATGGTTGATTTGGAAAAATTATCTTATTCAACTCACTTTCAAGTTCAGCTGTTTTATCCTAGATTGTTCACTTCTCCTGCCTTCTACAAACTCTTCACCCTTTTGTGAATAACCATGTAAGATGTTGCTTATAGGTAGAGCAGGGTCATCATCTGCTTTTTTATATGTTATGGATACTTCAACAGTAAGAACTCCCTTCCGTAATTTACAACTCTTTTCCTGTCCATCTAGGAGTTTTGGTTGCTCCCACTTAGCTTGTCTGTTCCAGTAACTATATTCTCCATAATATAATATATAACATTTTAGGAAGGAGAGTGGGATGCCCTCCTAATGGGGACACAACAAGCAGACCAAGGAACACAATCTCACCAATAAAGTCCTCAACCGATATAAGAAACTGTAAGGCGTATAAACTCTTTTTGCAGAAAATGAGCACTGCTGGTAATTATGCATGAAACATCTTTGTGATGTAGGGACTAGGAAAGTCCTTCATGAAACCGATTACAAAAGTTTGGCTTTTCCTTGTCTTTCTGTCATGGGGAGCAACTTTTGAACAACTTTCTTAGTCAAAGGTCTTCACTCAGCTTATCTTTGGTCAATGAAATGAGCTCAAGAGCCATTCTCAAGCCATTATTTAGAAATGTAATGATTTTGTTGTGGTTGAAGCTTAGTCTAGGTCCTCTTGATTGCCACCAGAAAACATATTCCCATCCAGAATCCACTTCAGTGAGTTCAAAACATGGCCATTGGCTGTCAGATATAGAAACACTTTAAGGAAATCTGTGATTCTTACCAAGCAGTTTCGGCTTTATTATTCTTTAGAAAAATCAAGTAAGTGATGCAAATGTATGCGGTTACAGATATACGCCATTTAGAACATAAACAAGATTTGATGAAAGGGCACCCTCATTTTCAGTTTCCAGCAATATAATCCCTAGAACAAAGTGTTGGTAGAGTGTAATTGATTCAATTCTATTTCAATATAGGACTTTTTCTACGTTTCTCTCTTTGTCTTTCATACCTCTGCCATCCTCCTTAACTTTCATCCTCTTATTTCTCTCTCCTTCTCGAATTTCCCCTCTCATACCCATCTTCCCCTTTGTTTTGCCAGCAGCCGTGAGACAGTATGGAGTTGTGTGGGCATTGCCCTCTTTTTTGGGGGGTGATCTCATTGCTTTCCTTGTAAATTGGCTCTTTTTTACATTTGTCAGTCACAGGGGGGAGGAAGGAAGAGGAGAGACAGAGTATCCCAGTCATGTCAGAGGTTTGGGTGCCTATTAGTGAACTCCAGTCTCAGTATCTGCTCTGGTGTTTAACACTGGGTTGAGACTGTGGGGTGCAACCCAAATACATGTCTTGAGCACCTATGTGTTGGGGTATAATTAACACAGGTAAACATCTAAGGCCTATACAGAACATACTGGCATCTCATGCAGCCAGGGAATGAATGGGTCCCTTGCTGCTTAGTCACTGGATACCACATCTCTCTCCCTCTTTCTCCTCCCCCCTCATGGTATCTGTCTGTCTGTTCCTGCAGCATATTTTACTGTAGCACAATGTCTGGGGTGGAGAGGCAGGGAAAGAGAGGATACTTTAAACTGCCTTCCTCACCCCTCCGTTCTTAACCCTTTCATCGCTAGTGTGCGTTTCGTCTCTCGTATTCCTGCAGCTTCCCAGAGGTGGGGAAAACCTTACTTAACAGTTATAAATTAGCTTAGAATGCCCACTTTGACTACTAACTCTAAATAATCCTTTATGAGAGAAGATTGTAGACTTTTGCAAGTTAATGGGCATCTCATTGCCAGCATGAGATGGTTGATAGAGTCAGTTCTTGCTAATAGTAGTAGATTCCAAGTAGTTTACAACAAAGCAAAGCAGGTATCTGTTCTGGCATAAAGTGTTGCAGCACTTTCTATTACTGATAAAGAGCAAGGAATAGTTTTGGTATGTCAATTTAGAGAGAGGGTTCCTGTAATCCTTTTCATCCTGAGGTAGGAAGATGCAGATATCCAAAGGTTGTCCCGCCACAGTGAAGGAAGTAGACCCCCAAGAGAAACTGTTATTTTCTTCTGAATGGGTCAGGTAATAGGTTTACTTTCAATAAACCCAATAATATAAAAGACCAGTAATGTGCAATACATCATGGCAACCAATCAGCTTCTGTCATAGGGAGAATATTGAAAGCTTATTAGTTATCAACATATGTTACTGCCAAGCAACAAATAATTTAAATAGATGTTAGCAATTTCTGCACTTTATTTTTTCATAAACTATGACATACACTAGTGACTTCTACCAAACCAAAGAACTTGATCTTTTGGTTTCATTCTCACTGGAGGCGAGGCAACAATATTTTATATGGGCATAGCGAGTAAAGGTCGTAGTGTTTGAACAGTGTGTTTTTATTGCATTGCATACAAGGATCATTTCAAGAGTCGCTTCTACCCAGAGGTAAGATGGAGATCCATCATTGTAGTGGTACCTTTTGTATAACAAATCTGTGTTATTGACAATTATGCTATACCCCTTTATTTGATTTTATTACATTAATGCATATTTACAAACCTGCACAGTCACTGCCATGCTTTGCTATCATTGCCTGTTTAGTAGCCAAGAAGGGCATAGAGATGACATTGGGCCTGTTTAACACTCAAAAAATTGCTTCAGTCTCTATTACCTCTTAGCAACCAATCGTATTATGTTTTACATTCCTTCATAATATACATGCAAAATATGTCTATACTTGCTTCACGGATGTTTTAATTAAGCTCATACCCTGATACATCAAAATGATACACCTCAATGTCTGCTTGTTTCGAGTTATACTAGAAGCATTTAATCACTTCCAGTCTTCCCTGGAGGTTGAGACATGGCACATAAGAAAATTAGACTTGCTCACAGATTGGTGTGTTGCTGTGCCTTTCTTCCAGGACTCCAGTCAAATTGGGCTGCTGAAGGAATTGTTGGACCTGCAGAAGGACATGGTAGTCATGCTGCTCTCCCTTCTGGAAGGTGAATATGTTTCACTATTCTTTTACATTCATATGCATGTACTGCACATTGGACCAGGGTTTCATAGTACTGGCTACTAGAGCCAAGCACTAGAGGAGTAATGCTGATTAAACGCTCACAAGAAGTGTTTGCTTTCATGTCCTGCAGTAGCCATTTTGGATCAGACTTCCTGATTGGATGGTTGTGGAAGAGTTACTGTCAGCACTGAATAAAGCAACACTCTCGCATTGTACATGGAAGGTACATTTGGTAATTTATAAGAGCAGAGGTGGTATGGTACTTGGACACTACAATCATTATTATGATGGTATATGACTGACCAATAATTTGGAAACACTGCTCTGAACACTGCAGAGTCATCAAGAATGGGTGAACAGGGATAATGTCAAAAGACAATTCCTGAAAAGAATACTGATGAGCATATTTATTCTTTATCTCCTGGTTGAGCAACTGGATCTGTTTGGCAGGTCATGTGAACTGTGATGGAAACCTTCATGTACAGTATAATGAAGATATTTTCTAAATGACCATCCTTCATTGATCTCGCATCACAGATGATACATACTGAAATCAAAACTTGTTAGAAGTTATAATCATAAATAAATAAAATAAAAGGGTTTTGGCCAGAGCTGGACCCTCGCGATGAATGTGGGACACATTTATGACCCCTAAAATCTAGTAGGCTGAGGACTTAAGAAGTATTTATGAGGATAAATACATTGATGGTGGAACATTTCCCCACAAGATTGACAGAACTGGCATTGAGTAGATGTCAATGAGCCATATGACTACTTACCACCAAAGCCTTGAGAAATTAGATCTATTGGTTAAAACATCTGGGCTTACTATGGGTTATAGAAGCTGTGCAGGATGAATATCAATGGTATCTTCAAACCCTCAACCAAACACCCCGTGTAAAAGGTCACATATAACAGGAACATACTTTTTTATTTAATTTAGGTAATGTGGTCAATGGAACAATAGCTCGCCAAATGGTGGACATGCTTGTGGAGTCTTCAAGCAATGTAGAAATGATCCTTAAATTCTTCGATATGTTCCTCAAGCTTAAGGACATAGTGGCTTCTGATGCATTTAGGTACAGTACACCTGACAACTGCTGTTTTATTTTTCCATTCTTAAAGCAATCAAAGAGATAATGATTGGCATACTGATATTTATGATACACAATATTGTTTTTTGCAGAGATTATGTCACAGATCCTCGAGGTCTCATATCTAAAAAAGATTTCCAGAAAGCAATGGACAGTCAAAAGCAATACACAACGTCTGAGATCCAGTTCCTCCTATCCTGCTCAGAAGCTGATGAAAATGAAATGATCAACTTTGAAGAGTTTGCAGACCGCTTCCAAGAGCCAGCTAAAGACATTGGTTTCAATGTGGCAGTTCTACTAACCAACTTATCTGAGCATGTACCTCATGACATAAGGCTACATAACTTCCTGGAGCTAGCAGGTTGTATAATAAACTACTTCAAACCTTATCTAGGCAAAATTGAGATTATGGGAGCAGGCAAGAGGATAGAGCGCATCTACTTTGAGATCAGTGAGAGCAATAAAACACAATGGGAGATGCCTCAGGTTAAAGAGTCTAAACGTCAGTTCATTTTTGATGTGGTCAATGAAGGTGGTGAGTCGGAGAAGATGGAGCTCTTTGTCAACTTCTGCGAAGACACCATATTTGAGATGCAAATTGCTTCACAGATTTCAGAAACTGAAGAAGAAAAGGCAGATGATGATGATGAAGATGATGGAGGAGAAGGATCTGGAGAAGGGGAGGAGGCTGACAATGAGTCTTCTCCAGAAGCTTCATCGGCTTTTGTAGAATTTATGAACAATGTGATAAACTTCTTCAAGATGTTCACCTACAAGAACCTTAGAAGGCAGTATCGAAAGGTGATTAACAATTTACTGTGATTCCTGTGACTTATACAGTTTTCTTGAAAAATATACGGTTACATGAATTCAAAGAAGACAACAGCATAATGGCTAAAGGGTTCCAGTTGATGTCTTGCTGACATATAATGTGTTTATATGAAACATGGCAGATGCACAAACTAGGTTTCCTTTCTCATGCTGCCATTAATTCCAGTCTATTTGCAATACCAGATTTTATGTGAGTGACAGTGAGCCAACATTATGCATAGAACAGCCCTCAAAATTTCCACTCACCCCCTCGCAATTGGCGAGTGAAAATTGCGTGGGGGCAAGTGGAATGTCATGGAGGGGGTGCGCCGCCGGCAGGACCAGGGATGTGACACTACTGCCGTGGCGATTGCTCGCTTCTGTTCTCTCTTCTCGGCCACTGCAGCTACAGAGCGGCCGAGAAGAGAGAACAGAAGCGAACGATCGCCGTGGTAGTGTCCCATCCCTGGTCCCACCGGCGGCGCACCCCCTCGATGACATTCAGTTTGGCTGTCTTCCCTTCCGCTGTCTTCTGCAGCTTCCTCCACCCACCTCAGCTGCCAGGCTGGGAGAAAGACTGCAGAGACAGTGAGACACCTGGCCAGAAAGTTATGCGAAAGAAAGTTCTATCTCGGTACATGGAGGATCTCTGTACCACTCCTCACCCCCCTCCCCCCCACGACCACCGGAAAAAGAGGGCACCTGAATACCATCAGCTAGGTGCACTGTAAGTCCCTTTTCTTTCTTCCTTACACCGCTGACCTCTGCTCTGCGCGTCACGCTGACCTCTGCACTGCGCGTCATTCTGACCTCTTAACTGCGCGTCATGCTGACCCCTGCACTGCTCGTCATACTGACCCCTGCAGTACGCGTCACACTGTCCTCTGCACTGCGCGTCAAGCTGCTGACCGCTGCACTGCGCGTTTGCTGACCAGTGTACTGCGCATTACATTGCTGACCGGTGTACTGTGCGTTACATTGCTGACCGGTGTACTGTGCGTTTCAATGCTTACCTGTGTACTGAGCATTACATAACTGACCGGTGTACTGTGCGTTACATTGTTGACTGGTGTACTGTGCGTTACATTGCTGACCGGTGTAGTGTGTGTTATTCTGCTGACCTCTGCACTCTGCGTTACATTGCTGACTTCTGTACTGTTGACCTCCTGTACTGTGCGTCACACAGCTGGCCTCTGTATTCGGCATTGCACCACTGACTTCTGTACTGTGCGTTATTACTGATCTTTGTACTTTGCATCACACCGCTGACCTGGCGGAGTTAAGGCCGTGGGATTGTAGAGGTTAGGTGGGGCAGCTGGTGGCGAGTAACTTTTAAGGCCTGGGTAGTAGCTTAGGACTTGAAATTTTGAACCCTGGCATAGAAGATAGGAGTGCTATGTGGTAAAGGTCTACATCCCATGATTTAGCATTTTATTATATGAAAAGATTATACTCTCATTCGGAATTCTGGTAACATGAAGGCAGGCTCACCCTGCCTATATTACGCATGGTATGGTGGCATTCCAGCTTGTTGCAGGACTTCTATCAGGTAACATTTACATTACAATCCACCACAATTCAGCTCCCTACAAATGCTTACAGTGTATGGGGCTGGTGTGCTGCCAGAAATATGTACATAGCTCTTAGCATCTTCACCTTGTAAAAGCACTTTTAAATTAAGTTTGTATATTAAATGTTATGATAGCCATGCACTCCCTGTTTGATTTGCTCCAAATAATGGAGAGCATAACGTCAGGCAAGGTAGGGTATTTAACTGTCATAAGGCCTAGTAGCACAGAGCTACCAATTAAAAGTAATTGCATAATGCATTCATTCAGTCTTTAGTAGCATGTAGCAAATTATTTAGGATAAAAATATTGTGTATATATACTGTAGTTTATACACCTTTAATCAGTTTCTGGGAAAGCAGTTAGTATTCAACAGTGTGGGCTATTGCGTCAAAGAGAAATTATAATGAATGAGATTTAATTCTTATCTACAGAAGGTAGGCTTGCCATTCCCTATACTTACAATGTATAATATTGTGACTTAGAAATATGTTTTACCCATTCTGACACTGCTAACGTGGGGAGTAGCAGGATGGGGGATGGGGGATGGGGTGGGTCTTCTTAAATATGTGACTTGGAACATTTGTGAAAGATCAATAGATATCTCCAATAGTTAGTTGTGATAAGATATTCCTGCTATAATGGAACAGTTCAGGGACACTGACACGTGTGAGATAACACACTACATTTACAGTATGTGTTGGAGTTGGCACTTTACTTTGGTTCATGAAACCTGACATTTTCTACCATCATCATAGCATAGCATTTACCCATGTAGTCAGCCAAGATTTTGTGCCATCAGTGGAAAAAACTCAACTGATGCTATCCAAAGGTACAATAAAACTCATTAGGTTTTTGTCATGTCCAGAGGCAAAAACCATGTGATTGTATTTCTGACTGACAGTCTGAATGCAAATTAAACCCCCAAGAGAGGGGAGTAGAGTAGACCATACGAGTAAAATAAATCACAGAATCAATGTTGAAAATATATCTAAATGTTTCCTAAGGGCCAAAAAATATGTTCCTTCATTGGAAATCCAAATTTAGAAATTAGAGAGACACAGAATTGATATGTCTAAAAAATGCATTCTTCATTTTCTTTAGATCAAGAAGATGACCATAAAGGAAATGGTAATGGCCATTGTCTCCTTCCTCTGGACGTTCTTCATTGGAACCCTTCACTTCATCTACAGTGTCTGCAAAGGCATCTTCTTGTTGATATGGCACACATTGTTTGGAGGCAGCCTTGTAGAAGGAGCTCAGAAGTTAACTGTAACTGAACTTTTGGCCAGTATGCCAGACCCCACACAGGACGAAGTCCACGGAGATGGTCCTCCTGCAGCAGTGAGTGATGAATTACCAGAGGCTGGAGATGTGACGGACTTCACTGACATGGGCAAAGAAGAAGTGCAAGAAAAAGGAGCAGAAATATTTGGAGTGGACCTGAAGAAGGATGGTGGACACTATAGGCCCAGCGCTCCCGATGCTCCTGGAGGCTTGGGTGATATGGGAGACACCACCCCTGTGGATCCACCAACTCCAGAGGGATCGCCCATCTTGAAGAGGAAATTTGGAGTAAGTACATTGAAAGAAATGTCTGATCCTTTGATTAATATTTACATTCTATGTAAGCAATTAACATTTTCTAATATATACCGTGTTTCCCCGAAAATAAGACACTGTCTTATATTTTTTTTGGCTCAAAAAAAAACACACTAGATATTATTTTTGTGGTAGGTCTTATTTTTTTAATGTACAACAATCCGCGCTTATTCATGTACAACAGTCTACAAGTATAAAAATATGGAGATCACTCCGCCTGTGATAGGAGCCGGCGCTATAGAGGAGGCATTGGCTTATGCGGCTCTGCTCCCTCTGGTGCGGCCTTGCTTCCTCTAGCTCTGGCTTCGTTGGCACCACTGATTTTAGTGTGAGAGCCCACGAGGGGAGAGGTCAGGAAGGTCGATGACCATAGGACCTGTGGGACACGCTGCTTGGAGAGCAGTGTGAGTGTCACACTGAGGTGTGCTGGGAGCCTTGGAGCTGAGGAAAGCTACTAAGGGCGGTATTTGCGGGGAAGGACGATTATCATGAAATGTTGGGATTTATGTGAACAGGGGAAGGCTACCCAGTGGATGACCAGAGACTTTGTGATTGCCCTTTTTAATAAACTGCGTTTTGCTTGACTTACCTGGACTGCAGTGGAGTGTCCTTGTTTGGTAGTTGTTTGTGTAGTTAAAAAGAAATTTGACAATTATTTTAAATTCTTTTAGGATGATGAAGCCCCACAGCACTTGGATGGTTCCGAGCAGCCAGAGCCAACAACAGAAGAGCCAGAGCCAGAACCAGAACCAGAGAAAGCAGAGTGAGTAGGAGTGTATAAGCACTAGATCACAATAACCTCAACCTCTTCTAAATCCTTAGAATAGTTTCACCTTCAATACTGGACTGAAGGACTGTACTGTTCATATTATTAGACATATCCATGGGCATCAATGCTCCAGTAATATCAGAATACACCAATGGCAGGAAACATAGAAGTGAATGACCAAATAAACATTTACTCAAATTATTTTATAACTAGCAGTGGAAAGGTGCACGAAGGTGGAGCAATCACAGTAAGTGAACATTACAAAAACTCTCCAGCCCTCAGTCCAGCTACTTAGACAACTAATACTTTTGGATTTACTTGTATTTGGTGCAGGCACACACTGGAGGCATCAGCCGCTTAGGGCAAGTCTGGACTTCATTGGCATAGTCTGCACTGACTATGGCTGCCATTGGTGACCTTCTCCAACAAGCATGCAGATAATTAAAGTCAGAGTGAAGCCTGGACTCCTTTTATGCATACTTGTTCCAGGTCAGTGACTCGGAGAGTACTGATGCCTCTGGATCAGTATGACAAACAGCAAATTTGAATTTTTAGAAGGGAAGGTAAGCAATGGCAGCCTCTATACTTCCTGAGAAAAGGGTTTCTTTAACCAGGATTGGGCAACCTCCAATAAATATCCTCTGATGTTGTTCATTTGTCCAGGTATGGCTGCTTGGGCTAATTGAGTGCCAGAGATATTTTATTTTTAGTGGCTGTGCATGTGATTGGGTAAGTAGGTCTAGAATCAAAGTGTCACACCCTAATGTTAAACTCCAGATACAAGTTTATTCCAATTTTAGAAAACCAACGTGTTTCAGGGGCTAAGCCTTTCCTCCTTCATCAAAGCTGGTGAAAGAGACAATGGTGTAGGTCGATTTGAACAGTATTTGTAACTTAAATTGCCACACAACTTTTCAGCAGTTATTTAAAGTGTTGGCTTTTCAACATTGGAATTAACTTGTATCTGGACTTGCCTTTAAAGCAGGATGTGGCACTCCAAGGTGTCACAGTCCAAGGTGACTGGAACTCCTTTGGTGTGAAGAAGCCCATCATCCAGACACCAAATACATGTACCATCTTAATACCATTGGTTGGTATTAGGGAAAAAACTATTTTCTTATCTTTCAGGGATCCAGCACCAGATCGTAACATACAGGGGTACATGTACCCTTAAAAAATAAGATCACACGGGGACTCGTACACACGCATACACATGCAGAATCAAAAACATACACACAATAGGTTGAACTTGATGGACCTGTGTCTTTATTTAACCTCAAATACTAAGTAACTATGTAACCTTCCACTTAACTAAGAAGGTGGTTGGGTTGTCAGAGGAAGTACAAATAAGGCTCAGGAACCAGGAATGGTTCTGACAAGATGCTCTGTTTTAGTAAGGAAACTATGACTATTCAAACAGAAAATACAAATAGATTAAATAAGTTTAAGAGGAACATTAAAATACAAGATATATAGCTACAGTATAACTAAGAATGATGATGCAGAATCAGTATTAGTTGTTGACAACATTTTGAAGTGGTTTAAAATAAAAAGTAACTGTTCAAATACAAATATGTTTTTTATTTCCTCTATCAATAACTGAATAATACTTTTTCAGCTAAATACAATTACAGATTGTACTCATTCTGATGGCCTTGTTAGCATGAAAGTGTTTTAACACTTATTTAATACATAATGCAACTTCTTTGACCAAAGAAAATGTTACCCATGACATTACCCACAATAATTTCCAGTCTAGAGAATGGGGAGAAGGGTGAAGCTGCAGTGGAAGAAGGAGCTGCTCCAGCTCCTGTGGAACCAGAAGAACCAGTTGAAGCCCCCAAGAAAAAGACTCCTCCAAAGGAGAAGAAATCAGAAGCTGGAGATGGAGGTTTTGAATTCTGGAATGAGATGGAGATCCAGAGGATAAAATTCTTGGTCAGTGTTTAAAACTTCTGATAACTGATCCTTCATCTTACACCAATGACATTTGTCTTTCTGTTGATATTGTAAAAATCCTTTATATTACTACTATGGTTACCATTTTGTTTTGTGTTTCTGTGCAGAACTATCTCTCAAGGAATTTCTATAATCTGCGTTTCTTGGCACTATTCCTGGCCTTCGCGATTAACTTTATTTTGCTGTTCTACAAGGTAAGTTCTTCTAGAGGTTCCGTGTCCATCTCCTCTTACTGCGCTAATTTCTGATTGGAATTGGTAATGGTTATAATCGAATTGCTTTTGCAAGGTCTGCTTGCTGTGCATTTTAGACTACTCTCTATGTAGAATGTCTGTCCTCACAGGTGAAGGGCCTTTGTGGATCTGAGTAAATCAATGTGTGGGAGTACTAAATGTAAAAAAGGATATTTGAAATCTTCTCCTTTTTTTGCACAAATATTGCATGTTTCATGGATCTTAACATGCCCCCCTTTTTAAGGCTGAGATGAAAGATCAAAATATACAACCCAAATACATGTGTAAATATATCATTAGATTATTAAAATGATAACGAATGTATATTAAAATATATTCATATAAAACAAGGTGTACATATATAAAAGGTTCATGTAGGAACCTAAATATAATACAATTAGAAATAAAATTAGGTACATTTATGCATCAATAGAAAAAAACACATTACCATATAGAAAAGGCAACACTATGTGTATGAGTAATGGAGTTAATATGATTTATTTTTTATTGAGGTTCCTATATGAACTTTTTATATTTTTTATACATTAGAAAAGTTCAGTAGGCCAATTTTCCACAATATTGGTCCACTTTACTACGTGCCACCATTGTTAGATGGATCTAAGTAAACCAATAATTAGATAAAGGGTCAGTCTACCCAAATTGCAATTTCAGTTTTTGGTTACTTCTGAAAAGTTGAGACATGGCTTCTTATATCTATTTGGAAATCTGGTGAGAAGATCTCCATCCTTAGTTCGTAGTCTGCAGGAAAATGGCAACAAAACCACCAGATATGCTGCCCACTATAACTAATCAGCTTTCATCTTTTTTATTTGGAAAAATTAAACAGGAATCCAGACAGAAAGCACACAACTGTGCTTTTGTTTCCATTTTTATGAAGTATATGTGGCCTTTTTTAATGAACTTTTTCATAGTCTTCCCATCTCTTTTAAACACAAATGGCCAAGCTAATATTTTTTGCAAGCCTCACATGTCATTACGTGTCTTCTAATATTACCTTACTTAAGTTAAATAAATAGACAGGCAGCATTTGCAACACCAAGAATGCCAAAAGCTACAAGCAGTACTTAGTACAATGCAACGCTTCATCAGGTCCTATGTTCTCTTCGGACCCGATGAATAGAGTATTGAGAAAGTGTGTACTGAGAAAAATCAATAATGACAATGTAGTGTGTTATTCATGTTCTAATTTCTGCCATATTTTAGACTGATATGACAAGTTCTGTAATTTCCTTAGGTGTCTGATTCTCCCAAAGGCGAGGAAGATTTTGAGGGATCAGGGATGGAGGAGGAACTGTCCATTCTGGATGAGGGAAGTGGGGCTGGTGGAGAGGAAGAAGATGAAGATGATGGCGTGGTGTATTTTTTCTTGGAGGAAAGCACAGGGTATATGCAGCCGACACTATACTTTCTTTCCGTTGTTCACACGCTCATTTCCTTCTTATGCATCATTGGCTACAACTGTTTGAAGGTGAGATTGATGTTTACTACAAACATATTCCTTGTTTTTAGCATTGTACATACTGAGTGGTTCGCTTGTCTTGTAATTTGGATTGTGCTTTCAAGAAATGAAAAAAATAGCTCCATGGAATTTCATACACAGAAAAATTGGGGATGTTAAAGTAGACATTTGGCACAATGAAATCATTTCCCAGGGCTCATACATATGGGATTCAAACTTATAAGCAAGTCAAATGCAGTAAATTTTTTAGGTGCTAATTAGTTACTTTGATTTGCCTTTAAACGGTTTTCAATCTGCTTCTTAATTGCCCAGAACTGCTCCAGGGTAATGTTACATTCACATTGATTTGTAAGGGGAAGCAAGGCAGTTGCCAAGTACATGAACTCTTAGAATAACTATACAGTGCACTTTAGCTTTTGCTTTTCCTGTAAATGGAGATTTTTGTTTCAATATTGCAGAATAATATTGTGGAATGACTAGTTTTCTATTTTGATATTTTATGTATGTCTTCTCTGTTCACCAGGTTCCTTTGGTTATCTTTAAACGGGAGAAGGAGTTGGCGCGTAAGCTGGAGTTTGATGGCGTCTATATTACAGAACAGCCAGAGGATGATGACATTAAAGGACAATGGGATCGTCTAGTTTTGAATACACCGTGAGTGCAACCAATGAAAAGAATAGAAAATAAAGGTTCAGAAATCTGGGCTTAAAGGAGAACTATGAGGTGAGTGATTTTCACTCAGCCTCATAATCTGAGCCGACCTGTGGCAATGAAACTGTTACAGGTCGGCTCAGTAGATCGGGAAGTGAGCGAATACATACTGTCGCTCCCTCACTTCTTGATCTATCCCTGCAGAGAGCCGTGACTGTCACTCACGGCTCCCTGCAGGGATTCCCCCCCCCCCTCCCCTGTCCGATCCTCCAGAGCTGACTGGCGAAACAGATGGGGGAGGGGGTGGGCACAGCTGGCTCTGCCTCTCGGTAGGCAGAGCCAGCTGTCAATCCTGCAGCTGGATGGATCCAGACAGTATTGTCGGGATCCGTCCCGGCTGCGACATCTCAGTATACCGCGAGCCGTAGCTCGCAGTATACTGTGCTTTGGGTCACGGGAGAACGCTAGTTTGTGTTCTCCTGTGACCCTTAGGAGAGCTATGGGGAAAAGCCCTAAACCCATAGTTCTCCTTTAAATATCAGAAAGTCAAAGAGAAAAAACACAGAGTATTTTCTGCTTAGTATTAACCAGACAGATCCAAAGCTACAGAGGGAGAAGACAGAAAATACAAGTTTGCCTGTAATGGGGCAATACAGACTATTTTGGATATGTATTCATTGAAGCAGAACTTCAGGCAAAAATTATAACCTCCAGATTAAAGTGACACTAAACTCAGGAGTTAAATCTTAAAAATGCATTCAAGTACCTTTCGTATTATCAAAAATGTATCTTATTTGTGTATCACTCATTTGTAGATCCTCAAATCATCTCTGAATTGGTGCTGACACTGTCCTTCCTTCTGGAGGGGGGCTACTTTTGTTCCCACCGCTCCAAGCTCGCTTCCATGATGGTCTACAATCTCACGTTTTTGTTTACTCATTTGTATTGAGATTTTAGTCCATCACGGCAGTGAGCTTGGAGAGGTGGTTGCTTTTTAACACACACAGGGACCATGGGGAACAAAAGTAGTCACCCTGCAGGAAAGACAGTGTCAGCATTAATTCTTAGATGATTTGAGGATCTGCAGTTGAGTGATACACAAATAAGATCCATTTTTGTTAATAGTTAAGGTGTTTGAATGCATTTTTAATTCCAGAGTTTAGTGTCCCTTTATATTCATACACAGATTAGCACTTTTTCCTACATACCCAAAATAATGGTTATGGTACCTATCTAATGAGTGGATATAGGGGAAAATGGCTGTTGAAGTTCCACATCCTTTGTCACCTCCCCTTCCCCTGGCTGGTGACTAGACAAAAAAAGAGCAGCATATTGATAAGCTCATCCCAATACTCTTATTTCCTGTAAGCATGTTTGTTGTGTTAAACTGGTGGCACTGTGCAAAGCAATAGAGCCCTAATCAGCTCAGAGTGATGACCCTCCATCTCTCAGCCTGATAGCTACTATACAGGGGGGAGTACAGGAAGCTAAAATAAAGACAGATTCAGATATTTAATTGTAACAAATGCATAACTGAATTAAGTGGTATATTTATTATTTGTCTGATGACCCATTTTAAAGTACACCTCCTAGGGAAAAATGTAAAGTAAATGCATGCATGAAGTGCAGGCATCTGAAGGTGCACATACTTTAAGCCCTCATCAAGGAATCCTGAAACCCGTGGCATTCTAATCAGAAAGGTTTATCACTTTATAGCTGTGTGTCAAAGGCTGGCCCACCTCTTTGCACCTGCTAGTAACTCTTACTGGACCATATTATGATGGGTGGCCATGGCCTCAAAGGCCAATAGAAAGGTGTGAGAGATGAAATGAGCTGAGAGGGCCAACAACAAAGGCACTTGCAGATCAGCTGTTCTAAGGGCTAGATACAGTATGTGAGGCCGGAGCTGGTTTTCACTGACTATGGCCAAGCTATACACAGAATAAAAACTGCTAATAGACAAGGGTCACTGGGGTTGAAGTCTGCTGTTCAGATTGGAATATTGTAGGAGTTTAATGCACTGATTAATGAACTGAACGTTTTTGTATGTTTTTGTAGCTCATTCCCGAGAAACTACTGGGACAAATTTGTGAAGAGAAAGGTAAAGTTCTAAGCCCCCATACAAAAATAGCAGGGGTCTGCCGTTGCCCAGAGTTTTACTGATATATATTCTCTCCTCCTCCGCCTCACTTTACAGGTGCTGGATAAATATGGAGACATTTATGGTCGGGAGAGGATTGCAGAACTGCTGGGAATGGATCTGGCCAGCTTAGAAATCAGCTCTCATAATGGAAAGAAACCAAAGTCAGATAATTCTATGCTGACATGGTGTGTTTACCTATGAAACTGTCATACAGTATTTCCAATCACTTCTTCCTTCTGTTCTTTATTCCATTATAAATGATAATTTCCCCTCATCAAACCCCCCTGTTTATAAAGTCCTCTTCCTAATCATATTGTTCTCTCCATCATGTTTGTCCTTCTTGATACTTGATTTCCATCTTCTGTCCATAACTCTATCCTGTTCTGCACTTCCAAGCATCACTCTCCTTAAAGAAAACCTGTTGTGATAAAATTTTAGGAGCTGTCTTAGCTTATCTCCTTTGGAAAATTCTAGCTGCTTGGCTGTCATGCTGACCATTTGGCTTTGATGCATTTTTTTTTTTTTTAGTTTTTGACCATACACAAAGTATGTACATCAGGCATTCTAACTTTACCTGCTGCATGTTTGTTCCAGGTCAGTGACTCAAAGTATTAAAGATAGTCAAGCAACTAGTGTTTTTAAAAGATTAACGATGGCACCCCACATGTATTTCTCACAATAGATGCCATTTAAAGAGACCCTGTCATCAGATTATTCATTGCAACAACAATGTTCCCATAAGATTTATGTGCGTTTAATGTATTTTTAGCATGTGATGTACCGGTAAAGGCTTCCCTTGTGTAGATCCAAAAGCCCCAAGGCTGATTCTTGTTGCTGCTATCTTGAATGTGATGTCAGCAGCCCCAGCTGACAACTCAAGTGACACTCAGTAGTATTCCCTTTTGCTCCTCCTCCAGCAGCCACATAAAAGGTTATGTAGGGAGTTGAAATTAGAGGCAAAAGAGCTGGGCCAGCACAGAGAGTAACTAGATACTTCCAGAAGAGGAAAGTCTATGACATACTGCATTTAAAATATTTGATTTGGTGCAATTTTTTAAGTTGCCTACAGTATGTCTTTAACAAAGGATCAGCCCACTCAAACCTCCTATTTGTGATATTTTGCTGTTGTATCACTCACTAGTTTCTTGTATTTCTGTGGAACATGAGCAATAAAACCTCAGTATCTGAGTTTTCAGCTCTGCGTACCTGCCTAAACCATTAAGATTTAAACAAGTTAAATATCAGTTTTGAGTGGGTTGTCCCTTCATTTCTTATGTATATTGTTAGTGTAGCAGGAGGTTATCAGGCCCCCAAAGAGGTGAGTTTAGGTCAGACAATGTGGTAGTGTCATTGTAAGTAGTACAGCAGGACAACATTTCTACCATTACATTTAATATCAGCAGAGCATCTGGTTAGTTTAGAAGTCAGATCTGCTTCTCTGATTTCTTTTCTCATTTGCACCACAATAGAGCCTTGGTCATCTGTGTCCTTTTATGTCAATATTATACTGCATTGCATTTGCCATCCGTATCTTATTTCTCTTCCTCTTGCTCTCATATATAGAATATTATCTGGTTATCTCTCGCCTTTACTATTGTAACTCCCTCCTTGTTGGCCTACCTCTAATCATTTTCAAATAAAATGAAAAATACTAACATGTAAGGCCATCCACAACTCTGCCTGTGTTACATCACCAAACGTTTTTAAAAACATCACCCAAACCATCCTCTTTGCTGCTCCCAAGACCTCTTGCTGTCTAGATCCTTTGTTACCTCTCAATAGCATCTCTCATCCTCTGGAACTCCTTACCCAAGTTTCTATCTGGTTAGCTCATACCCTGTCTGCCTTTACTCGATCCCTGAAAGCTCATATCTGCAGGGAAGCTTATCCAACCTCTTCCAAAGAACTGAACTTTTACTTTCTCCATCAACTCATCCCGATACAGTTACTACCTTTTGTATCACCTGTCCTTCCTTTCAGATGGTCGGCTTTTACAAGCAGGACACTCTTAACCATTTTGTCTTGCATTGTATTAACTGTTGGTGCTATATCATTTTTGTACTCAACAGTTCTAGGTGTACTGACACATAGCAGTCAAATTGCCTCTTTCAGCCTTTCTGCTACATGCCTTGTGTGACTATGATGTGTGATTTAGTTAGGTTCTGGTGTGGGACGTAAACACATGCGTTGAGGCAGGCCATTCAAATGAATAAACTGCAAATGCACCATATAATCAGACATGCCCTATTTTTTGACATTCAACGCACCACAAAGCACAGTAGTGTGTTACTGTACATTTCTGTGTGCTGCAATGCATGTGTGTTCCCTGGCACCCCAACACAATGTACATTTAACAAACGAACATTTAACGTGCCTTTCGGTACCATTTAGGGATGCACCGATACTGGTTTTTCGGTATCGAGTACGAGTACCGATATTTGTTTTTCTGTATTTCCCGATAACAAGTACCGGTGCCATGTGTCCAGATTATCAGGAAGTCGGGTGGAGGATCATGATTGCATGATCCTGATTGCCTGTGAAGCCGGTGTTCTACCGAAAGAACACTGGTTTCACTTGCCAAGGCTGCCTGGCTTCTTGACCAATCAGGAAGCTGGGCGGCTAGTCATGAGGTGCCGTCCGACTTCCTGATTGGTCAGGAAGGCAGGCTGCCAAGCAACAAGTGAAGCCGGCTTTCTAGCCAATGAAGAAGCCAGGCGGCACGTCATTACCCACCTCCCAGCTTCCTGATTAGCTAGGTAGCATGGCTTTCTGACCAATCAGGAACCCGGGATGCAATTCATGATGTGTCCTGATTGGTTAGGAAGTCAGGCTGCCTAGCAACAAGTGAAACCAGCTTCCTAGGCAATCAGGAAGCTGGGAGGCGGGTCATAACCCACCGTCCGGCTTCCTGAATGAAAAGGAAGCCTGCTCCATGCTCCCTCGGCACTTGCGGTCAGAGGGAGATCTTCCTCTGACCAGAAGATCCGGTATTGGAGGTAAGTATCGGAGCATTTGGGCAAGTACGAGTACTCACCCAAATAATCAGTATCGGCACCGATACTAGTATTGGTGCATCCCTAGTACCATTTGTACATTTCCACAACACAGCAGAGTAAATAGACCCTTAGTGTGAAACTAAGGCTAATCAGGCAACTAGGCTGAGAGGGAGGTACAAGGCAGTAACCTAGGAAGGCATAGATCCAGACTTGATGGCTGACCGTGCATTTTTGTTGCAATATTATTAATACATTTCTTGGAAAACACATGATATAACCCTTAGATGTTTTAACTTTATGCTTTTTATTATCTATAATATTCTAAGATTTGACATCTCCCCATTCCTAAAGGAAATCCGCATCCATAAGCAAACAATCACCTATTTATTGTCTTGGTCTCGTATTACAGTGCTCTTCTTCAGTCCCTGTGGCTATATACTTTGTTTTCATTGCTTTATTTACCAGTTCAAAAGACATGTCCAGACTCATCTTCATCTATTATTCTCTTCTTCAGGTTTACCTCAGTTGATATTAAGTACCAGATCTGGAAATTCGGAGTGGTCTTCACTAACAATGTAAGCACTATTTGGTGTATATATTCATAGGCTATGGCACACCAGCTGTAATTGCCAACATAGTTTGACTGGGACTTGTGGGTCCTCAAGAGCTGGCTTACTTGTATATATATTTAAAATATGCTAGAAAAAAAGTTGTAGATGTTGAAAGATTAAATAAATAAATGATTGATTGCAGTAAGTACCTCTTGGATGCATACATCCCAACTGCCCCTCATTTGAAACCAAATTCCTCTGTGTTCCTCTTTCCTCCTCAGTTGTCCCTCTTTTTTAGTCTGTTGTACATATATCTATGAAAAGGTTTTATTTTTACTAACATAAGTGTTATTCTGCACTAAAACCTACATGTTATCTCTTAATTGTAATTTTGAAAAGCCAGTATAAAGGAAAAGTAATGGTTAGGAAAACAATTCTGGGTTTCTCCAATCATCCGTGTCATAAAAATTCTTAATGGGGCTGTGACAGGGGTGTGTCCATTGCCTAAATACAGACACTGCACTAGAATGTGTCCCTTGTTCTCATCTCAGAAAGTTGGGAGGTATGTAGATGCCAAACAGAAGCCTATTAACTGAATTGACCAAAAAAATAGTATTTAGTTTGTTTGATAAAGTTGTGAAGTCTTATTTGGACATGTGCACCAGAATTTTGACATAAAAATGTAACATTATCCAATATTGTTCTGAAGTGAGAGTGTTACAGCTTTTTTTTTTCTAGCTTAAAAAAGTAATTGTTTTGGTTGACAATTTATCAATCTATAGTACATGTCACTGAAAACTCTGAAACAAGGAACGTTTTGACAGTGATGGATTGGAGAGCTCAGTTAAAAAAAAGGTGTTTAAAAAGTTTGTCACAAATCAGAATGCAATTGGCATGCAAGTTAGACTATTTCTTATAGTTGTTCAAATGATTTACGAGTTTTATTAACAAAGACTTAAAACGTTGTGCACAAATATGTTGTTGGCCAAGATGGGTATCCTCCTAATAGGATGTTGACATACAGAAATATATATAGAAATATACATCGATCAGCCATAACATTATGACCCTCCCGCCTAATATTGACTAGGTCCCCCTTTTGCCCCCGAAACGCCCCGGACCCGTTGAGAAAAGGACTCCACTAGATCTCTGAAGGTCTGATGTGGTATCTGGCACCAAACCATCAGTAGCAGATAAAACCGTGGAACCAGCACAAAATGATCTTCCAAAGAAATTTAAACTTTATTCCACATGCATCTATACAAAGCACAACCGCTGACGCGTTTCTGCCTTACTCGGCCTTAGTCATAGCTAGCTAGATCATCGTGTGCTGGTTCCACAGTTTTTGAGCCTATTACTCCGGAAGAGAGTCATCCATGCACCGAATGTGGATTGTGGGGACGCATGATAGGGGTGAGCTGTGCGATTTGTGTTTTCCGTCAGTAGCAGATCCTTTTAGTCCTGTAAGTTGCAAGGTGGGGCCTCTATGGATCGGACTTGTTTTTCCAGCACATCCCACAGATGCTCGATTGTTGCCAAGGCAACATCTCAAACTCGTTGTGTTCGTCAAACCATTTTTTAAACATTTTGAGCCATGAGTGGCAGGGCCCAAGCAGAAAATTGCCCCCAAAAAATCATACTGCCTCTGCCAGTTTGCTTTCTTCCCATAGTGCATCCTGGGGCCATCTCTTCCCCAGGTAAGCGACACCCATTTTATCTGCTCCAACAACAACTTCAGGGACAAAATGTTCACTTGCTGCCTAATATATCCCGCCCACTTCCAGGTGCCATTGTAACAAGATTATTAATGTTTTTTCACTTCACCTAGTCAGTGGTCATATTGTTATGGCTGACGATGTATGTACATACATATAAATATATATAGTAATTAGGGTTGCACAGATACCAAGTACAGTACTCGGTACAAGTACGAGTACATGTACCGATACGTTTGAGCTCCAAGACTACACTAGAGGAAAATTCAAAAGTTAGGAGGCAGCCGTCATTTGTAAGGAGCACACAGAGCTCCTGGGATTTGTACATCTCTGTTTTAATGTACGATTTTGTTTTTATAAATATAAATAAAGGGATGCACAGATACCAGTTTTGCGAGTACGAGTACTGGTACTTGCCGAGTACTTACAAGTACGAGTACTGATACATTTTTGTTTATTGTCATGTGACAGTTTTTCTAAAACAATACAGACTAATTATTTCAGGACAGTGGTGGAGTGCCATAGCCAGGTCCCAGCTGCAACCGCTGCAACCCTGGTAGTTCTCATGAAAATGCCAAGTATCTGCACTGGTACTCGAAAAGTATCTGTGCATCCCTAATAGTAATATATCATACATATTGTTAATTGTATGTATTGTATTGTTAATTGTACTGTATTTTGGCATCCATGTTTTTTCTTCTCCAGTCTTTCTTATATCTGGTCTGGTACTTGGTCATGTCCATGCTGGGTCACTACAACAATTTCTTCTATGCTGCCCACCTGCTGGATATTGCCATGGGAGTGAAGACCCTGCGCACAATCCTGTCTTCTGTCACACACAATGGAAAACAGGTATGACAGCAACCTCATCATCCATATGTCTTTGTTATTCAAAACACACTAATCAAAAGATATTTCGTTTTCATAGAAAACCCTGCTATATAACACTCAACTGGACCCCAGTACTCAGGATGGGTTAAAGGAAAATAAATGCCCCTCCCCAATCAAGTATACCCATTGTAGATGTCTATGTACTGCTGGTGCCCCTTTCATGTGCTGGGATTAGTCCTATCAAAACTAAAGTTCCAGCAATGTGACAAAGCCAAAACTGTTTCTCAACCTCCTCATGCCAAGAAAAGCGTATCCCTAGTTTTACACAATGCAGTTCATCTTTGAAACAAGGGCACAAAGTAAAAGTAAGGCCAAAACTATTTTTTAAAATGTGGATAGAATTTTCTTGCTGTTTTCCTCATGCTACGAGGGTAAACATCCCCAATGGGTACACAGCCTTCAGCAGGTTAAAAAATAAAATGTAGCTGTTAATGGCCAATATCTAATTGTTTCACTTTACCAAATTTGACATGGGGTTCAGTTTAGGACATTGCGACCCCTTTATTTTTTTTAAAGGTTCTGCAAAATGGCTTTTAACCCCACTTTCTTCTCCCAAATCCTGCAGCTCATGATGACTGTTGGACTGTTAGCTGTGGTTGTGTACCTGTATACAGTGGTTGCCTTCAACTTCTTCCGCAAATTTTACAACAAGAGTGAGGATGAGGATGAGCCAGACATGAAGTGTGATGACATGATGACGGTGAGCACCCTTTTTCAAATGTTTTCCTAGTCTATTATTAACTTTGGTTTGGCAGCACAAGCTGTGTCGGGACCAAGTTATATTCACAGTAATCACATTTTTTACCTATTTCCCATTTCTGTAATCTTTGTGGTTTCCTTTCCATAGTGCTACCTTTTCCATATGTATGTTGGGGTACGAGCTGGCGGTGGCATTGGAGATGAGATTGAAGACCCTGCAGGAGATGAATATGAACTTTACCGTGTTGTCTTTGACATCACATTCTTCTTCTTCGTCATTGTCATCCTGTTGGCCATCATTCAAGGTAAGCAATGGTCACTTCCCAGTAAATGACATCAGTAACATGTTTTGACAAGTGAAATATAGGTTTGTCTTTACAAACAGATGTATCTAAATTTAGTAGACACTTAAATAGCTCATCAACTTACCAATCAGAATATCTAAAACAACAATGAGAATGAAGGTTTAAAATTAATCCACAAATTCACTTTTACAGGTTTGATCATTGATGCCTTTGGAGAGTTGAGAGACCAACAGGAGCAAGTGAAAGAGGATATGGAGGTAATTGTTTCATTCACAATCCGAGTCAATTCATCTTCTACTTACCCTTTTGCATTACATTCTCACACATGGTTTCTTTAAATGGCAACACCTTCTCTAAACCCCCATTTTGTGATATAGTACAGCAGTTTTATGGGCACCACTCTCCCACACCAGTGGTGGTTAGCTTTCTTGATATCGGAGGCCTGGTTAGACATACGTGGGTTGACTTTGGGATTGGAACAACAAATGCAGATAATAAAATGTTCAATGTGGCAAAGCTCCCAATGATGTGGAAATTGATCTCTGCAAATGATTATTTCTACTACTAGATCAATTCCCAGCTGTGAAAGCCAGGACATACAGCTTGTTGTAAATCTTGCAGCTTAAAAAATGTCATGTTGGCACATGTTTGATTTTCCTTTCCCTTTACACTTTGTTGTCTTTGTCTCTGTTTCCTCTGCTAATCTCCCTGGCTGTTTCTTTTTATTTTCTATTATTCATCATCAATATCATGTTCCATCTACCCATTGCCTTCTCTTTTGTGACCTACAGACCAAATGCTTCATCTGCGGCATCGGCAGTGATTACTTTGATACGACGCCGCACGGCTTTGAGAATCACACTTTGGAAGAACATAACTTGGCCAATTACATGTGAGCTGTGGGGATTGGGAAAAAGAACAATGTATTATTTCTGTGGGTGAGATTTCAAATACTGTTCAGTGTATTCTGACCAGTCTATGCTCTTCTCTAGGTTCTTCCTAATGTATCTAATTAACAAGGATGAAACAGAACATACTGGACAGGTAAGTGGATCATGGCAGCTATGTGCTCCATCATGTTGGTGTTGCAAAATGAGACAACAACATTGGATAGGAGGGCTTATTACCACTGAACTCTGGGTGAAAAAAAATGTAATATAATACATAATGTATTTTTATGAACAAAATCAGTGTAAGTAGCTGAATGTGACCTGGTATCAGTCTCTTGCAGTCCTCTGTACAATAGCGCTTAGACTGGAAAAGGGAGGAGCAGGAGTAGGAGCCAATCAGTAGTGCTGCAGTGCTCATGTGCTCTCAATGAACATCTTCATGCTTCTCCTTTTACTGTCCAGTCACAGGCTGGAGAAGGGACAAGACCCCTGTAGGCATTACTTAATTACAGCATAGAAAAATCAGTTCTCCTGCCTCAGACAGAGCTTTGTTGCATGGCAGAGCTGTGTACATTTCAGGCCTGAATGGCCAGAATACCAATCCTTTGGCAGGTACTGTAGAACTACCTTTTATTAGTGATTTTGTCTTCTATATGTCCTGAAATGGAGTGATGTTCTCTATGTCCTAGTTCTCCTAAGCCTTAACATTGCAATACGTTGGTATTCGTCCTCCTTCTAAGGTGAATCTCTGTACTTTATGCCAGTCATGCCCCAAGTACTGTAACTGACCCTACTTTCTCTTTTGCAGGAGTCGTATGTCTGGAAGATGTACCAGGAGAGATGTTGGGACTTCTTCCCGGCTGGAGACTGTTTCCGGAAGACTTATGAGGATCAGCTGGGATAATGGATAAGTCTTATACATATTATATTTCTTGGGTCTCTCAGATCCTTGAAGCTACAAGAGACATTGGCAACCATCTTCCTTTTCGGCCTCCGTCTCTACTGATCCTTTTCAGTGATTCCGTGGAACATTCATTTATTAACTGGAGACTGTTACATCTTTAGAGTCCAGATGCCCTCGAAGAGCTTTAAACTGTAATAGCTGAGATACCTGCCAGACTATCACATTGTGATAGCCACATTGCTGCTGTAAAGCAGTGCATTTTCAGAGACTTCAGATGAGTATTGTCTTTTTACACAGCGGCTTGTTTTGGAGCACTGATGTCCTTTGCTCCACAGGAGCCTGCTGCCTCACTGACCTGTCACTGCCACCAAAAATAATAATAATGATAACTTATCAATATGACAATGCCTTCACTGCCAACAGAGACTTAGTGGAGGGACATTATTGTCCTCCTTGCTGCAGAGCATTGCACCTTTATCTTTGGTTGGTCGGTTAATAATTTCACCTTTTCTTTTTTGCCCCTAATGCTGCTGAGCATGTTCTGTCTACACAAAAAAACACCATCAACATTTAAGCATTAGTTAAAGGTAAATAAATACCATAATGTGTTGCTGGGCATTACAGTTCAACAGCCTACTGAACCATTCTGGTCTGTAAACTACCTTGACTCTTCAACAACTGTTGTAGTTACATGTTAAATATGCAGGTGTCTAGGCATATTAACTACAAATATACAGCTCATTATTCATAGGAACCACCAGTAGAATTAGATTTAAAATGCTGCCTTTCGATTGGTGGGTTCTTACGAATACACTAGTTCAGTTTATCAAAATATATGCGGCAAATGAACATCGGCCCAAATTCAACGCAATAAGCTGTGACTTGGGAGTTAATGTCCTAGTACCCAAGAGTTAATCTTTTGGCCCAATTTGGGAAGATTTTATAGTATTTAAAGATGTTTTATATTTATTAAGAACCTGTGCCACTGTGTGCCATAAGAATGGTTGGTATTGCAGTTGACGTCATCTGATAAGGCCGCAGTGCATTTATCATCATGTGCCATGAACTCTAAACAGATAAAAGCATAAAGTTATTTGGCTGCCTCTAGAACACATAGTCATTATTGCTCATGGGGATGTGACTTGTGTACCCAATACTTGTGCCTTAAACCTCCCTTTCAGGGAGGCATACCGCAATGTCACAATGTGGGGTTATTGTGAAATGTAAACTTTGTTGCTGCTGCTTTAATCATTAGTACACAGATGGGTTTAGTAAATAACAAAGTGCATAGACCAGTACTGTATAATGACCCATGGCAGCCAATCAGAATTTAGCTTTCAGGAGCTCGTGCCTGTGATTGGTTACTATAGGTTATCGCACACCATTGCTCCTTCTGTTATGTTATTATCTAAGCCCATGAATGTCTGAATGTGTAAGTGAGGGGAGATGGGGTAGCACTGCCCCAACCGCGTATCTTCAGCTCCTGGACAGGGTATCACTCCTCTCACCACCCAGTAGTTTGTTTCCTGTATTTTTTGGGAGGATTATGTCATGTTTCCTTATTACACAGGCAATAGATATTATATGGGATGATACTGTTTTGGGGAAGCTGAATTCTTGTTTGTGCTGCATTTTTTGTCCTGTTTGTCTGTAATAAAATATTTATTGATGCCGCTGTAAGACTTGGCGACTTTTATCTCTGAACTTCAGTGAACTCTAAAACCATTCTAGACATTTTTATCCTTTGTAGAAGGTTAGACCCGTGCTATGAAAAAGCAAGATTATGGTTTATGACAAACCTACTGCTGCCAAGGAATCCAACCAGAATCCACCTCTTGGTGAGCCTCTGACACCACAGCCTAGTCCAGACTGAAATCCAATATACAGCCAGGAAAAGGATCCATGCGGCACATTTTGATGCCAAGGAGTGTTTTTTATGAGTTAAGAGCATCCATGGTTACTGCTTTGCTCATAATAACACTCCTCAGTTTCACCACGTGCCACGAGGACCCCTTTCTTTGCCATATACTGTATGTATTGTTTATTAGAAATGGAGGAAGAGAATGTGTGTTGTCCAAGATTGCAGTAAATGACCAACAGAGGATCAAGTCTAGCAACAGTTTTGGGTTTTGGATGACGTTACCCTTTAAGGACCTATTCATAGCTTTGGGTATGAAGTAAATGAGTTGTCAAGTTAGGCTTACTTCTGTAACCATCAGGTTGTATAAGACGCGCTATAAGATTATTGCTTTTACCAAGTCATTCATATGCAAGGTTTGATCTGCAACCAGACAGTCCCAAAACTGCAAGTTTCAAAGAGAAGTTAAAGCTTACATGGAGCTACAACACCCCCCTTCCTTCCTTCCTTGCCACTCAGCCACCAAGGGGTAATTTTTTAGGAGGTAACAGTGAGAGTCACACGAGCCATCATATTCAGAAGTGCAAAACTTTTTGCTTTGGGATTCCAGTGCTTGATTGGGAACTGACATGTTACGAATAACATAACATGTAAACTCATTTTCAAATAGAGTAAGGAAGGATTGTAATGTCTGCCAAGATTTTACTGCCGTCTGTGTGCCCATGAGGGAGATTCCTCTCACTTCCTGTTCAAGACAAAGCAGAAGGAGAAGAAAAATCTCCTCTATGGGGACCCAGAAACCATTTCAAAACTGACAGACAGATTTCCTCAACAGGGACATAGGCAGCAATAAAAACTGAATGGGGGTTCACTTCTAAGAAGGGATGTCCAGATACCAGTTCACATACCAGTGCCGATACTTGGCATTTTCACGAGAACTACCAGGGTTGCTGCTGGGACCTAGCTGATGCTCCACCACTGTCCTGAAATCATTAGTCAATATTGTTTTAGAAAAACTGTCACTGTGACACTAAATGTATCAGTAGTTGTATCTGTGAGTACTTGGACAAGTATCAGTACTTGTACTTAAAAAAAAGGTATCGGTGCACCCCTTAAATATGTTTATAAAAAGAACATCATACATTAAAACAGGGATGAACAAATCCCAGGAGCTCCGTATGCTCCTTAAAAATGACAGCTGCCTCCTAACTTTTTTAATTTTTCTCTAGTCTAGTCCTGGAGCTGGAAAAGTATCTGTACTTGTACCGAGTACGGTACTTGGCATGTGAACATCCCTACTTCTAAGCCTTCCCTACTCCTTTTAAAAACAAACACTTTAAAGCCCAAACATGCAGCTCAACGAAACCAAAGTCACCATTTGCACCATTTATAATTAAATTACTGTTTAGTAAAATGCAAACATCATTTGCTTTTATGAAGAGTTGCAGGCGCTGCCCTATAAGTGGCTGTAACTTTGCAAAAAAAACCTAAAGTTGGTTTCCCCAAAGGGGCTTATAGTGAGTACAATGCTTTCCTTTCCATAAGCAGTATTAAAATATGGAGCTACAACTGGTGTCATGGCCTCACAATGACAGGCAGATCCCCAGCATGTTACCGTTATACGCATTCATTTCAGTAGTGCGCTAATCAATATTCACTTTCTAGTAATTTAGAACAACATTATCGTAAAAGTGCATGAAAGTTTTACTGCATAGACATTCAACCAGTGTTGTCCACAACAGTGCCAATGCATGAAGCTTATACTGTAAAGAAAGATATTGGTCAGTCCCATTGAGAAGGCGGTGAGCCTGTTCTGAGGAATCCCATGCACTGCCTCTTACTGGGGCCAACTGTACACAGATCAGCTACTCCCCATTGGTCAAACACTGCTGCCGTTCTGCTGCAGAAGAGCCATGTGTCTGCTGGAAGGTAGGGAAGGTTTGTAACCAACTCATTACTTGTTACTGTCCAAATCCAGAGCATGTATGGCTAGCACATTCATGGATGTATAAGTTGGTTGTGTTGCTGTTGCCGGACTGAGGAGCTTCTACAATGATCTTCCTACTGTAAGAAAAAGTGAAGAGGATTTAGAACTACAGCAAGACTGCATTTACCCCTTAGTGTGCCACCACAGATATATTTTAATTTCCCAGCATCCTTTCCAAAAGCTCTTCCAATTGTGTCCCCATACAGGTTTTTTATTCCCTGTGATCAGGTAGGATTGTCTCAGAGGGGATGGATCAGCCAATATTTATCATTTCAGTAACCAAAAGCTAATCTTTTTTTTTTTTAAATTATGAGTTGATAGGGTTGGGTTTAGGATGGCCATAGATGGACAAGGGGAGTGGAGACATTTACTTGCTCTCACACAGGCTTGTATCTGCATTATTCAATATTCTCACTCTTAAGTGCGGTAACCAATCAAACTTCATCTTGGGATTATATAATACAGATTCCAGCAACAGCTCCGGTCTCCAATTCTTTGTAGAGTATATCAGACAAACAGTTCACATCATAAAAATCACTAACGCATTTTAGCCTCTCACAGCCTTAGTGAGCCTTAGTCATAGCTATGACTAAGGCAGTAAGAGGCTGAAACACGTTAGCAATTTTAATGGTGTGAACTGTTTCGTATACTCAATAAAAGAATTGGAGCGTGGAGCTGTGCGCCGGAATGTGTATTTTATATGTGTCATAGACTAAGGTAGACAGAACCTTATCTGAACACCAGCGTTCCCCCTCATCCACTTCATGAGAGCCAATTCTTACTGGTTGCCATTAAGGATGGGCTCGGTCGTGTTCGCAGCTCTACATGCCGAGCCCGCCAGGAAGCTGACAACGTGCAGCGCCAATCACAGGTACTGAGACATTTTCCCGGTCCGCAGCTGCAGAGATCGGGAAAATGTCTCAGTGCCTGTGATTGGCGCGCTGTCAGCTTCCTGGCGGGCTCGGCACGTGGAGCTGCGAACACGCCAGAGCCCATCCTTAGTTGCCATGTGGTGCTGTAGTTACCGTAAGTATATATGCATAAAGTGGGGTGTGATGGGTCTCATCGGCAGAAAGGCAGCATAAATGGTCAGTGTTTCCATTTGAGAAAAAAAAAAGTTAGGAAAAAAAAAATCTATGAGTATGATATAATGAGCACTTTGAAAGGAAAACTGTGCAGAGATAAACATTGAGGCTACCACTGCAGACCTTTCCTTCTGAAAATGCTAGTTGCCTGGCTGTCATGCTGGAAATCCGCCATCCATACTTTGATTCACTGACATGCAATAAGTACGCAGAGAGAGTTTTGTCATTTTTGACCTGCATTCTTGTCCCAATTCAGCAACTACAATCTCACATTTAGTTTACTAATTTGTATTGAGATTGTAGTCGATCAAAGGAGCGAGTTTGGAGTGGTGGATACTTTACAGCACACAGGGACCATGGGGATCAAAAGTAGTCACCCTCCAGAAGGAAGGACAGTGTCGGCACCAATTCAGGGATGATTTGAGGATCTACAGCCGAGTGATACACAAATAAGATACATTTTTGTTAATAGTTGAGGTACTTGAATGTATTTTTAAGATTTAACTCCTGGGTTTAGTGTCACTTTAATGCTATTTTCTCTTCAAATATTATGGGCAGTAGTGAATCCAGAAAAGACCTCCTTATGGCCACTAGATGGCGCTGAGAATCATAGGAAATAAATACCGGTACATCTTAGTAACATCTTATATCTTAGTAACAAGACATACAATGTAACAATTCTAGAGAACACTGGAGGGAATTAGCAGATAAATGTGACCATTGCAATTCTAGGGATACCATTATCTCGTGGCCATAATGAGATATTTTCCAGATTCACTACTCGCCATAATATTTGAAGAGCATTCGACCAGAAGAGAAAACATTCTATATTGCCCCATTCTCACAACAGCTGGTAATTTGCACAGAATATTCAATTTCACCGGACAAATTGCTATATAAATAGACCCCTTAATGTCAATGTCGCTCCAAGGGAAAACAGTATTCCCCATCCGTACAAATAAAATGATACTAAAAGCGCCTTTATGGTTTAACGTATACCTGTAAAAGGTTTTTCACTGCAGGTTTTACTGTTACTCACAAGACCTCGCCCGTCTGAAGCAGGGGGTCCACATTCATGTTGCAATGGAAAACCCTTTTAAGAAGATTGATGAATGGGGTGTACAAATGGTACTTGGATATAATTCCCAATGGTAGATATGTTTGCTTACCTATCTGAGGACAACAGGCGTAAACTGCGGTCTGCGCATTCAACAATCACCTGAGGGGAACAAGAGAATCAGCAATGTGAAAGGGCAGGTTACAGGAATGTGTACTACAGAAAATTTAGCTTTAACCTTTTATCAGGACAGACAATGTGCACATCTCTAATAATAAAGTTCGGCCACCACAGTATGGACAAGGGCAATTATGGTAAACATAACTCCCCAGCACATAGTACATAGAAGGCAGAAGCTAACTAAAATGTTATATGATTTTTCAGCAAATAAAAAGAAAGAAGTTATTGTTTTTAATGTTATACAATGTGAATGAGAACATATAACAAATATACAGTAGGTGGGTGCAAAAGTAGAAATACACTCATTTGTTCTAGCTGGCCCTAAAGCCGGACCTAGTTCACCAGTAACCAATTTTCCTGCAGAAATGATTACAGCTCAGTTATATGGCTGAACTAGTGTGTCACCAGACAATGTGCAGAAGTGATCTGTATGTTTTATTGGTGGTTTCAGAAGCATTTGATTCAATAAAATCAGGCTGAGCGATATGAGGTATTATTGCACTGGGTGCTTAGCCTTAAGATGCAAATGCATCCCAACCTAGCTCTTAAATGGCTGTTAAGAATGAGCAGTGAGAATGAACATCTTTCATACAACATCAAAAAACATTGTAGCCTCCCTTTATGTCCCCTTCCCCAATCATATCCCTTTGTACTTGCTTCCAGGTCTTCTACGGAAGGTATGTGCTAGGGAAAATGATCATTTTTAAACGGCCGATGGTCCATTATTTTTACAAAGACGCTTCTGTAACTCAGACCATAATGTCTTACCTCTGCAGTCTGCAGCCTCAACACTTGGAAACCTTTGCTTCTTAAAACAAGGACTTGATCCCCAGAAACAGCTAAAACAAAGCAAGAACTCAATTAAGAAAAAAAGGCAATTTCCTGCGTGTACATTAGAAAGCATTACACCAGTGGAAGAATTGATTGATCAGTATCCAACTATTCAAAGTGTTTCTTCTGTGGACAGGTTGCAGGAAAACACAAGTAGCACAAGAACAGATTGACTAAAACAGTTTAAGGGAATCTATGATCAAAAACAAAATCTGTATTTCTATTGTATTTATTCTATTGAGCCGCTGGAATACACGGGTCTTCCGTAGCCTGTCTAGGGGATTTTAGTAACCTGTTGCCCCAATAGCATTAACCGCCCTCTTCTAGTGACCCACAGAGCTGAGATCCAGGCCAGATATAATGCTTTTCTATGCCTTGAAAAACTTCAGGGAGAGAGGTTTAGGGCTAAGGACATCCATTTGAAAAATAGGACAGAACAGAGCTCTGTGCAGACTCCTCGGGAAAGTAGTGAGCTAGTCACACAGGCAGGAAAGATTTCTGAGGGCATTCTGTTTCACAGTGTTCAGAAAACATCCAGGTGACATTATAGCATGAAGGGCATTCGAAGGTTGTAAAAAATCACAGCAGTTGTAGAATAAAACGGAAAGGTTACTGTTAGAATACACATTACTGTGTTTATAGCAACAACTCCTGCAGTATACAATTTTGGTCAGTAGATGGCAGTGTTGATAAGTTCTGTTATATATCTATGGTATATACTCAGTTGTATTGAATAAGATAGAGAATAAAACTGTGGCTTCCTTCCTGTTTTTCAAGCCATGTGCAGCATGCATATCAGACTGTGTGCTTGTGTTTCTCTGTGACGCTGTGCAAGAAGCTCCAACAGTTATATGGTGTACACATTATGTGGTATTGCCTTTTTAAAAGCGTAGTTTACCCTGAAACACACAATCATCTTACATTGTAGGAAATAAACCAATGCTCACCTACTGAGTCCACGGGAAAGGTAAACAGGACATTCGGGACACAAGATGTGTTTAGGGGTTCTCCTTGGTGATCTACCAAATTTAGTGTGTCTGAAATTATGGATGGAGCAGAGATGGCAGAGTTATATACAACACCGACTAAAGCAGCAACTAAAAGAAAGGGTTTGTTTAAAGAGGACCTGTCATTAAACATTACTGACAATCACCAGCTTACTTTTTACACATACAATACGAACATTGAGTACAGCTTATATTATGCACCTAAACATATACAGTGAGGGGAATTTATCAAAATAGGAGCAGACAGAATGCAGTTGCCCATAATAACCAGCTTTTCTCTTCAGTTTGTTCAGTTAAGCTTTGAAAATAAAAGAGAGAAGCTGATTGGTTGCCATGGACTCCAGTTTTGATAAATTCCCCTCAGTATGTCTATTATATTGACAGTGGAAGCAAAGGATGGGATTGTTGCTCTGAAGAGAATGCAGGATTTGCAGATGTTAAGCTCACCTGACCCTATGTCAGCTGAGTACATTCCAGGTTCTTCAAAACAAATGGTGTGAGAAGTCTTACAGTTTTCTTTAGAAAGCAGCCACAGCCCGAGTAGAAAGCATGTTACCCGGGGGCGTGGCCAGCAGCCGCATGTAGTCGGACCTCAACCTCCTAGAGGTTTACAATGACGCCTTCTCCACAGGTCATCTACCCGATACGATGTACGAGGCCACCATAGTTGTAATACCCAAAAAAGATAAAAACCCGCTGCTACCGGAAGCGTACAGGCCTATTTCCCTCTTGAACACCGACATTAAGATCCTTGCTAAAGTGCTCGCAAACAGACTATCACAGAAAATTACGTCGGTGGTTCATTCGGATCAGTCTGGCTTTATGCCTAACAAATCCACGGCCATTAATATCCGCAGGGTGTTCCTGAACATGCAGGTCCCCGTGGACAACTCGGGCGGCAGAGCTCTACTCGCTTTGGACATTGCTAAGGCGTTTGACAGTGTCGAATGGCGGTATCTGTGGGCTGTTCTGTCAGCCTTTGGCTTTGGTCCTAACTTCTGCAGATGGGTGCGCTTATTGTACTGCCGCCCATCTGCGAGAATTAAGATTAATGATTCCCTGTCTTCTGCCTTTACCTTGCAGAGGGGCACCAGGCAGGGATGCCCGCTGTCGCCCTTGCTGTTTGCCCTGGCCATCGAACCTCTTGCTGCACTGGTCAGGCGATCTGCGGATGTGGTAGGCTTTAGGAGGGGAATGCAGGAGGAAAAACTTGTCATCCGCTATATGCGGATGACACTCTGTTATTCTTAGCGGACACGGACGCATCTTTGTCCAATGTCATGTCTCTGCTGTCAAAATTTGCTGCATTCTCCGGTTTGGCTGTCAACTGGGATAAGTCCAACCTTCTCCCGCTGGACCCACTACTTGGATGTAGGGGTGTGTTGAGTTGTACATGTAGGGGGGCTCACGAGGCTTTCACGATAATTGATGTTGAATGTGCTCTTTTATAGGCGGGCGATGTGTTCTTGTCGAATTACATTATGTGGCTCTTATGGATATGGATGCTCTCTCTCTTTTTCTTTGTGGTTTTTGTTTCTGTTAATGTCTTTTGTATTTTCTATTATGCAAAAACGAATAAAAACTATCTGATTTAAAAAAAAAAAAAGAAAGCATGTTACCCGCCAGCATGCTTGCTCAGTCTCTGTGTGGAAGCAGTGGCCTCTTTGCAGAGGTCTGGACAATATTGGGCTTTCCATTGATCTACATACATCAGATCTTTAGTTCTGAAATCAGCAAGGAGCAGAAGATCTGCTGATTGCTGAGCTATAGATCTGACTCAGCAGGGGGCAAGCAGAGGGGCCACTGCTTCCTCTCTGTGTGGCAGCAGTGGTCTCTCTGCAGATGTCCAACACCCCCCCTGCTGAGTTAGAACTTTATAATTAAGAGGAGGCATGAGCTTTGCTAATTGGAGAGTTCCAGTACTGACTCACCAGGAGGTGGACCTCTGCAGAGAGACCATACAAGGTAAGAAAAGCAGTGTGTCACTCGAGGTTAGCCCATGCTTGCCTGCTGCAGGTGCTTGGTCCTTGTTCAGCTCATTTGTTGACAGTCACTATACAGAAGAATTGGATGCAGAAAGACCACTTCCGCACAGAGAGTAAGGGTTCTTCTCTACAGGATGCTGGCAGGGGACAGGCTGTGGATGCTTTCTAAGGGAAAAAAAACTGTAAGACTTTGAAAGTGTTG